TAACTGATCACTAGTAATAATTGTATAATTATTCAAAACTACCTAGAGGTCCGGAGACTCTAGGATTATAACAACTCCGGTGGTGCCCTTTACGAGGAAATTCTGATTTTATGAATAATAATTCATAATTGGGTATCAATTCTCATAAATTTATTAAAATGCATAACTAATAAATTTAGGTCCACTACAATGTTAGCAATGCATAAAGGAGTATTTTGAATCGAAATGTTAACAATAATGAATCGGCCCTCTGGATCAATAGTAGTGGTATTATGATTGAAGTGTGTTTTTCTATTTATCATAATGGTGACACCCCTTTGTTTTGAGTTATAACAGGCTGAGTACGAGTGAGGAAACTGTGGTGAGGTTAGTTTATCTGCTGTCTTGGGTAAATGAGTCTCCTGTAATAGGACAATGTCTGCTTGCAGATTATTTAGATGGTTAAAAATTTTTAATCTCTTTTCCCTTGAACCAATTCCGCGTACATTCCAAGAGGTGATATAAGTGAGGTCATCATTCAACTAAGGGATGTGGTGAAGGCTAGTGTGTACAGTGTGCGTGTTGTATCATTGTGTGTGTTGTATGCGCCTGTATGTGTATATATGTGTTCATGTTGTACGCGCCTGCGTGTGTGCTAGCGGTGTGCCCGACTGTTTGTGAATTAAACAGTATGAAAATTGCGCAGCTGATCGACGTGTAAACGGCGGAGGAAGAGCAACATTAACAAAAGAAAGAAATAGTGAAACAAAAACAGAGGAAAATACACAAAACATTATCGGACAGTCTAGTCAGATAACCACAGTATAGGCTGTTGAGACGTGCACTGTATTTTATAACTATTAACTTGCCATATGTCACGGAGTAATTAACTGAGAGGGGAAAATGATCGCATAGTGATACAGTTCACCTGTTGATGGACTTGGTTCTTAGTAGAGCCAAGGAGTGGTGTCTCGGTCGCGGTACAGCTGGCCATCAACGTAAAGTTTATCCACCGCGATGACAGCCCGTGATCCTTCTCCAATGAGCTTCTTTCTTATCGGGAACAGGACTCGGCGTCGGTCCAGGATCTCCCGGGGAAACTGGTCATTAACGCTGAAGTTGGTCCCTCTCAGCTCCCTGCCGCGGCCTTTAACCAGTTCCTTCTGCTTGAAGTATTCGAACTTCGCGACGATGGGCCTGGGCCTCTGGTTCTTCTGTTGCCGTCCTCCCAGGCGGTGCACCCGGTGGAAGCTGATGGTCTTTACGGTCTCGGCCGGGAGCTTCAGTTGATTTTGGATGAAGCTTTTAACGGTCTCCTCTGGGGCTTCATCCGCCTGCTCCGGGATACCCGAAATGACCAGATTATCCCGCATACTACGAGTCTAGAGATCGATGATCGCTTCTCTAATGTTTTTATTGTCTGCCGAGAGCCGCGTCATTCCCTTTGTGAGGGATTTAACCGAACCTTTGAGGACCTTGTTTTCCGCCGCAAGCTCAACCACCTGTTTCTGGCTGAACTTCAGGGATTCCCGCAGATCCTGAAATTCTTTGTGAAGTACTTCCACCAGAGATAATCAGGCATCAAAGCTAGACAATTTCTTGTCTATTGAATCCAGGATCTCTGTGAAATCTGCACCTTGTGAGGAGACTGCTCCAGGTGATGCTCCAGGTGAGTCTTCAGTGCGGTTTCTCTTTGATTTCCCCATGACCACTCGATGAAAACACTAGCCAATATAAACTTCAAGGTCCTCCAAACACTCGTCCTCGAGGTCCTCCAGTGCGATTTGATTGCTCTTATTTGTTAATTCGCTTAAAATTGGCGGATTGTTTGTTTAATGAAATGTTTGTTTAGCTGCGCGCTGCCATGTTTGAATTGCACCAAGTCTCACGACGCTCACCGTGTCATCTCCCTGTTGGGCAACTTTATTAAATAAAGTGCTGATGGAGAAAGTCAGGGAGTGGACAGTGAGAAAGAGACACAGAGAGGCGGGGCAAGCTGGTGTGGTTACAGTAAAAGACCAGAGGTGTAGGGGCGTGTGAGTGTGAGTGTGGGGAGAAGAGAAGTCCGAGGCATGTGCAAAGTAGGTAGATCTACAAGTAATAATAAAAAATGTCCGTGAGGATTAAAACATACATTCATGTGATGTCTGTCAGCCATCCCCGATGGACCAAGCCTAAGTAGTAGTAGTCAACTGGTTTATTAGAAGTAACAAGTGAAGAGAAATTTGGACAAATAAATGCGCCGTATTTGTATAGCACCTTTCTAGTCTTTTCGAACACTCGAAGCGCTTTTACACTACATCTGCTTTCACCATTCACACACACTGAGCTTAAGTGCTCAAACAGAAACTAACATTCACACACCGGCGGAACAGCCACCAGAGGCAATTCAGGGTTCAGTATCTTGCCCAAGGACGATTCGACATGCGACTGGAGTAGCCAGGGATTGAACCATTGTACTTCTGATTAACAGGCAACCCGCTCTATCTCCTGAGCCACAATCCACAATAGAGGCCCACACATCATTTAGCACAACAGCCGGCAGATTATGTCGGCCACTGTAGCTTCTCCTACACTCTTGGAAAGGCTGAGCGGTGACTGAGGTTGCATTCATGTGGTGTCAGAATCTTTTTTTTTTTTAAGAATGGATACAACCACAGCTTGAGAGGGTAGTGATTTAATATCTCATGGTAATTTAGTCATAGTAACAGTTAAAAACATGCCTACATTTTTCAGCCATTAAGGCCCTCATCAGGGCCTTTGTGCTGTTTCTTATACATTCAACTCAAATCAATTCAGTCAACACAATATCCACACAGAAAATACAAACAGCAAAAGTAGCATTGGTACAAAAATAAATAATAGTACTGATAATTATAGTAATATTATAGGACTAGTAATAATTGTAGCCAGAAACACCTGCAGAAAGTGACAGAAGGAGAGAGGAGAGGGACGAGAAAGCACAAACTACAGGAAGTGGAAGAAGTTGATAGTTGATCTATATATAGATATATATGTTGCCAAGTTTTGTGCTTAATAGTTAACTACCTTACCTTTGTTCATGTCTATGTCTGTGTAAGTACATTGAGAGCAACAGAAAAACTGAGTCAAATTCCTTGTAAGTCTACACAAACTTGGCCAATAATGCTAATTCAGATTCTGATAAAGCATGTACATTCTGTATTAAATGATCTAAAACATCCACACATCAGTGTGGTATGGTCCTTCAGTCCATGCCTGCTGACTGTACAGATGATGCAGATTAGGGTATTAGTCTTTCTGCTGAATGCAAAGGTTAAATAAGATGAATGGACTGTGATGCGCTATACATCCAGGTGACAAATGGTGATAGGCAGAGTTACAAAAATCATAATATATCTCCCTGTGGACTCATAATGTCAAAGCCACAGTCCCTTGATAACAAGCTCCTCGTTACTGCATGTTCCCCGGTCAAAGTGAAAGTGAAGCAGAGTTCTTCAGAGTAAATATAACTGCTGTGATCAGCCACATTAAAATATATGAGTAGGTACTACAAGTAACGCAGTGAAGCTGAAATGTCAAGCTACTCCCTGATCAAACCCACAAGGTTAATATCAGCTGTTGTTCTTGTTGCCTTGATTGTTGCAAATGAAGTAAAGTTTCTTACGTTCTTAGCCTAAAATATAACAGATGCTAGGCTCGTATCCTGCTGCAGTAGAGGAAGGCCTGGCCACTGCAGGATTCATGAGACACTGACTGGTTTAAAGAATGACTCATTCAATCATTTATTCAGTTATTTGCACATTTATTAGTTTCTGTAAGTGCAATTGATTCATGCTGCTGTCTTCCTGTATAACAAAAGAAGAAAATATGTCCGCTGCTCTGTTCTTTGCTAATTTGTAGCTGTACTTTTTACCTGACCTGACAGACATTAATGGATTGTTGTCTTACCCATGAATGTCATATGATTGGTTCTTAAAATTTTTGTGATTTAGAAACTAAATTGTGTGCTTTGTTTCCTTTTCCCTTCTGCTCTGTGAAGTGACTCACTGCAATTCAAACACTGTCCATAACAAAAAAGCTGACCAATAATAGATTGGAATTAAAAACTTGATGCATCCTGTTCTTACACAATTGAAAATTACTTAAGGTTTTTATCAGAAGGAGCAGCAGGGTTAAATGACAGGTTCTTATTTTTCAAGTATATCTTAATGCAATACTAAAACGTTATTGGTGGCTGTAATCTTTCCACACTGGCCATGAAGTGACTCTACTGCTCAGTAGTCTGAGTTAGCCAAACCTTGACCTTGAAATTTGCTTTGCTTATCTATCCATGGTGCACAGGTGCTACATTTGTTTGTGGCTCAGCATCACTCTGCTGCCAATCTTATGATTTTGTCAAGTGCAAACAAAATACTTGCACAATAATGTCAAGATTCACCAAGTTTAAGACAGATTTTTGGCCCACAAGACACAGAAGCTGAACAGGTTCTGATCTTTAGAATTTATTCGCCAATAACAAAATATACAAATTTACGATTAGTACTGTTCATATCCCAAAATATTCCAAATAATGTATTAGTCCAATCCAAAAGCTAACGTAAATCCAAAAATCCACAGATAAACCCACGAGACAGGCAGATGTCAAAAAATATAGTTTCATGTGACTAAAGCAGGAACGGCAGTAATCTGTCTGCATTTATCTATATATGAATATGAGTGGTTCTGTTGTTCACAGCTGCTTTATAGCCTCCTGAATGCAAAGTTTCTCCTTCAGAAATTTTTGGAGATGGCACTTGCAATAGGGCCCCCAGTGTGATGTAGTTCAGCTTAAGACTCTTTGAGAAGCTTCCCAGTAGTTCATAAATTCACAACAAAACAAATAGCATTTAAAACTGCCTTTTGTTTTCCCTGAAGGGTGAACACAGGATCCAGATCCAGACCTGACAAACTAACCTCTCAGCTCACTGTAATGTGGGGAAAGAAAAGAGCCTTGAGCTGTGGCCTACTCATTTCTCATAAGTTTCTGTTTTCTCTCCAAGTGTTACATCTTACCAGACCTTACCCAGGAACATGCCCAGCCACCGCGCTCAGATTGTGCCCCGCTACCCAGAGGGCTATCGCACACTGCCCCGCAACAGCGTGATGAGGCCAGACAGCATTTGCAGTGTGGCGGGCTCCGTTTATGATCGGGCCCTCCGTCCCACCACCACCACCGTCAACACAGCGGAGAAGAGGAGGTCGATGAGGGACGACACCATGTGGCAGCTGTATGAATGGCAGCAGAGGCAGGCCTTCTCTCGACAGAGTCTGGCTCAGCCAACTGGTACGGATACCACAGACAGATAGAATACTAATCCCTGTCCTACAGTAAGAGCCATGACACGGACAGGTTTATTTCCAACTCAGAAAACTGGTTGTCAAGCCTGCTAACCCTCTGATATTTTGAACATCCTTCTCACAACAAAGCAAATACACTGACTGCCATGTCATTCGTATTTTTTACTGTGTTTGTCTGTTTTAGTTATTATTTGTTGTCTGCCGCACCGGCTCAAATTCCTGTGAGCTGGAATGAGCTAGAAACATGAAACTGTAAATGGTGTGCATGTGCTTCCATAGAAATATGAACTCAATCGGCCACATGGTGGTGCTGTAAATAAGGCTTAAAAATGCAAATTATGAAAGGCCACGCCCCACACGCCGTAAGTCCAATTGACTTGAAATTTCTCACACAGGTGCAGCTCAATGTGCTCAACAAAAAAGGACCATTAAGGTTTTTTTTCATTAAGGATTACCACCAAATTTTCAGCGAATCATCATTGGATCAAGCCTATTAAAAGTTGTATAAAGCATGTTGATATCTCAATTACTTTTCAAGACATTGACAAATGAACTTAGAAGGGGCCGGGCTCTGGACATAAATTAACACAAATCACAGGATATGTTTAGATAGGTGCCCCAGATATACCTGGACAGTTTGATGTACATACATCACTAGGGGGCGCTACAAGCGCTAGAAAGGTGCTTAGCATTACACAAATTACACTATAAATCACATATTCATTCTCCAGTCATCACAAATGTCTCAGGATATGTCCTCATAAGTAAGTTAAACACATCCTGAAAGTTTTATTCAAATAGAACATCAGGGGGTGCTATAAATGCAAACAAACTGCAGGTGATATAAAGCAAATCAGCCTACAAATTACAAATTGTTTGTCCAATCAACGCAAAACTTCCAGGATATGTCTAGATAAAGACCTCACACATACACTGCAAGTCTCATTCAAATTGACCACTAGGAGACACTATAAGTGCACAATAACTGGATGTGGAATGAAACAAATCAAGCTATAGATCAGAAAATGCTTGTCCATCGTTACAAAACTTGAACAGAATGTGTTTCATAAAAATATTGAACCATATGTGTGAAATTAATTTGATGGTGATGTTGCGAAAAAAGGTTTGAACCTGCGAATCGCTGCTTGTGGCTATATTTATTTTATATTGTTGTATTATTTAGGGCCAGAGCATGAAATGTGTGAGATCCCTATTGAAACTGAAGGGATTTTTTTTCTTTCTGTCTTTTTTTCTGCAAAGTAACCTCAATGTTGGGGACTTTGCACAAAATTCAGGAGTGGCGAAAAAATTTCATATTTTATGGGTTTCGTGCATGGGTGTGGCAAAATGGCTCATTGGCTCCCCTACAGAGCAGCCCCCGACAAAGTTTCACCTACGTGTACGAATTTTCTGTGGTACATGTATCATATCCAGACGTACAAAAAAGTCTATTGGAGCGATGCCCGACACCCAAAAGGAAGTTGGCCATTTTGGATTTAATGGTCATTTTTGGCGATTTACACACTTTGTATTTTACCGAACTCCTCCTCGGGATTTAGTCTGATCAACTTCAAATTTTTGCTGTGCACTCTAAACCCACTGACTATTAAAGGTTGTACAAACTGTCAGTTTTCATTCACGAGCATGCCCGTGGCGTGGCCTCGAAAATCAACGATTTGCCAAGAAACAGGAAGTTGTTGTAACTTCAGTATATGTTGCATGCTCACATCTGCACCTCAACCTGCCGTCAAAAATCGATGATTCGTCATGAAACAGGAAGCTGTTATAACTTTGGTGTACACGCTTACATCTGCACCAAATTTGATGTAATAATGGTCCAGCCCCGAACACATCCACATGTTCACTCAAAGCCATAGCGCCACCTGCTGGCAACAGGCACTATGCTATGATTGCCTACTCCTAGCAGGTTGGCCATATATCAACTTCAGAACTATCCCAGAAAACCCTTAATACATTGATGAAGACATGTTGTAGAACTTTTTGTTTGAGTTGCGTGACGGTGGCATGGTGGCTAGTTAAACACTTTGCCGTGACACAGGAAGTTGTTGTAATTGTTGACTGTAAATTCTCAGATCTGTACCAAACTTTACATGCTTGATAACTGTCCCGCCCCGAACACATCTACATGCTAAAATTCAGTTATAGTCATGGCACCAAAGTGCTCTGTAGCGCCATAAAGGGGACACAGGAAGTGACACACTTTGTGCAGGGGCACAGGCGCATGACAAATTGACAGCCAACAGGCATGCTTTTAGGTTTGCTCCATAATAATAACTTGTGTCATAATTTCTTTAAAAGGCCGACATGTTTTTGGCAAGGACAGCTTGACGCTCTACTAACTTTCTTTCTCCTCCTGCTGCTGTGCTTCCAGCTGTGGGTCATTATGGCACCTTGCCCAGCACAAAGACCATGGGCAACATCTCTGAACATGTTGTGGCACACTCCATCCCCACCTCACCGTCTCACGGCTCCCTGGCTCTCTACAGCACCTTCTCCCCTCCTCGCCAACAGGTCACTCACAACCCCAGCATCTCCCACTCTGAGGTGTCCTCACCGGTATTCAGGGGGGACGTGACGCTGGACCACCGGCACAGGACACACCTCGCCAAGGTAGGCAGCATGGCACTGGAGTCGACGAATAATAATAATAATAATAATAATAATTTATTATTCATTCATACAGCACGTTTCATACAATACTATAATATGTGCACTCAGTTTAGAACTGTTCGTCAAAAATCTGTGTTCTGTTAATAATTCAAATGGAGAACATTTTGAGCCACTGAATCACTTTATGAAATGCAATTTATGAAATGCAAGTTTGTAGACAAGGCTCAGCTCATCAGATGAAGCAGCGATATAGTGGAAACAGCTGCTGTGTTTGTTGCTTATAAAAATGTACAGTAGACTGGTAAAATATGTGTTTCAGTAGGAGTCATTCCACAATATTAGTTGGACTTGCAGAGTTAAGTTTATTATTACATACAGTAATTATTTTATTATTATGTATAAAACTTATTAATTCATATATGCATATATGTATATGTAATGTGTAACATTCAAGTTGCTATTTCTTTCCCCCTTGGCTCCGAGCAGATTTATTTTGGTTCCTACCTGCCGTTGTTTCAAGGGGACAGGGAAGTATGCTACAGGCAGGGCGGAAAGACTAACATGCAACGACAGAGTGAAGTTGTGTGTGTACTGTCACTGGTGTTAAATTATTAGATTATTCAAGAAGACATTTTAGCTGCTTATCACCCACAGGCCTGAAGGACAGGAGAACGCTACCAACCAGACATTAGGGTTACACTATGATAAGATAAAAATGCATATTTCCAAACAAATGTCAATGAATCAGTCCATAATATAATTGCCACATAGCAAACCTGCAGCTTTAGGTGCCCATGAGTGTCTGGGGCCCTGAAGCAATTACCTGCTTTGCCCAGGTGTTAATCCAGTTTTGTTAATAAGTGTGTATTGACCCTTTGCCTATTGATATGCCACATCTGTGAGGTGGATGGATTATCTCGGCAAAGGAGAAGTGCTCACTAACACAGATTTTGACAGATTTGTGAACAACATTTGAGAGAAATAGGCCTTTTGTGTACATAGAGAAAGTCTTAGATCTTTGAGTTCAGCTCATGATGAATGGGGGCAAAAACAAAAGTGTTGGCTTTATAATTTTGTTCAGTGTATATATATATATATATATATATATGTGTGTGTGTGTGTGTGTGCGTATATATCACTTTCTGTTTTTACATCTATTTACCATTCATAGACAAAACAACAAACATTATTGGCTCAGCAACACTTGTGTCCTGTTGCACCTTGATTAACTCTGGCGCTGCCTAGTTGACAGCGCCACTGGCTCTCCCTGGTGGTGGGAGGTTTACTGAAACAAATCATAAACATTTAACACAAATGGCTCTCACAGAGTGAATAATTGAATACAAGATGAAATGGCTTTAAGAGAGATGAATATTTTACATTTGTTTTTTTTGTTGAATAATGTTCTGCCTGAATACAATACATTCCTGTTAGCCTGATGTAACAGCTGAATTTAATTACACTGACATTAATTGAGTCCAATCATTGTTCTGTGTTTGCTACAAAGAAAGCAGATGTTGGCAAATAGATAACAGGGTGAAGCTATGACTGAAAGTTTTACTTATTTTAATAATGTTCCTCTTTTGATGCAAAGATGTTCCTCTTTGTAACATCAGTGAATGAAAAGGGCATCACAAATATATGTCTGCTTGCATTAGCTAATTAACTGCAAATCTCATGTATACTTATATTACTGCCCGTCATTTACCACATACCATAATGCATGCAATTTATTTTTAGTTTAGCCTTTTCTCAAATATACATTACAGTTGTGAGATCACATCATTTATATACACTCACTTGCCACTTTATTAGGTACACCTTGACGCCTGAACCATTGATGATCCATGCTTTCATGTTGTTAACGCCAAATTCTGACCCTACCATCTGAATGTCACAGCTCAAATTGAGACTCATCAGACCAGACAACGTTTTCCAATCTTCTTTTTTCCAGTTTTGGTGAGCCTATGTGAACTGTAGCCTCAGTTTCCTGTTCTTATAGCGGACAGGAGTGTCACCTGGTGTTGTCTTCTGCTGCTGTAGCCCATCTGCTTCAAGGTTTGACGTGTTGTGCGTTCAGAGATGGTATTCTGCATACCTTTGTTATTTGAGTTACTGTTACCTTTCTGTCATCTCGAACCAGTCTGGCCATTCTCCTGACCTCAACAATAATCATTCATTTAGCTGATGCTTTTATCCAAAGTGACTTACAATTGCTAGTTTGTCTGAGGTCACACACCTCTGGAGTAACGAGGGGTTAAGCGTCTTGCTCAGGGACACATTGGTGTGTCACAGCGGACTTGAATACTGCGCCACCACCACAACAAGGATTTTTTATCCACACAACTGCCTCTCACTGGGTATTTTCTCTTTTTTGACCATTCTCTGTAAACCCTAGAGATGGTTGTGCATGAAAATCCCAGTAGATCAGCAGTTTCTGAAATACCAGCCCGTATGGCACCAACAACCATGCCACATTCAAAGCCACTTAAATCCCCTTTCTTCCCCATTCTGATGCTTAGTTTGAACTTCCGCAAGTTGTCTTGACCACGTGTACATGCCTATATGCATTGAGATGCTGTGACAGTAATTAGCTGTTTGTGTTAACAAGCAATTGAACAGGTGTACCTAATCAAGTGGCCGGTGAGTGTATATGCACGCACAGATTTGTTTAAATGAGGATCCTGGCTGCAGTGTTTCCTGTTCACATATTCAGACTGCTGCAACCTGAACCTGAACACCACAACTTGTTAGCAAGTTAGCAGTGAAGCAAAGAGAAATACTTTGTATAGTAGTAATGGATAAACAATTCAGCTAGTATAAAGTAATAGAAACAAACAGCTTGAAAGGAATAATTAAAGGTCTGAATTAACTAAAATGAATGGCAAATGAAACATCAGCAGCAGTTCAACTCAACGGCGTCACCAGGTCATGTTTTGACTGTAGCCCCGAATGCAACAAAAATATTTTCCATGTTAATATGCAATAATCTTCATGACAAAGCCTGTCTCGCAGGTCTTCAAAGAGCAGAGGCTACTCGCAACAACTGATACATTTTCTTTGAAGTTCACGTAATGTGACCCCCCCCCACCGTTACTCAGACTCCCTGCATTTAGAGAGGGCACAAGAGAGAGAGAGCACATTGCTCGCCACTTCAGGGCTTCTCCGCGACTTCTGAATTGCAAAATTGTAATCAGTATATTTAAATGTAAATGTTGTCTGCCAGTGTCTAGTCGGCTAACAGTCCCCGCACAGTAGTGAGAGAATATCATGACACCTGACCGCGACATAGACTCCTGTCGCTCTGTGTCCTGCTGTCTCTGTCCCCCTCGCTGTGAGACACTACTGTTTTACTGTCTCCAGGATGCCTCGTTCCCTCCAAAGTTGATGTGAGCTGCACTTCAGCTGCACTTTATCAGAAGTGCAGAAGTGAACATTTGTGTGGAATTGTGGTGATATTGCTGTCTGATCACAAGTGTTTTAAGTTTGGGTTTTCTTCCTCTGATGAAGATCAGTGCGCTCGTCTCATTGAGTGGGCTACAGTCCCAGACGGGCTCTGTGTCTGTCAGACAGTCTAAAGGGGGTAGCCTCAGGGGTGGACTGGTAATCTGGCGTAGGCTACCGGCTGACGAACCTTTAGGGCTGTTTGGTACTGGAGCTGCAGTAGCTTCAACATCAGCTGCCCTGCATAGAGCAGGCACTTGAAGGAGAAAAGGAGAGCCGTGGCCACTGAAAAATTGCTTGCACCAAGAAATGTTAATTAACAAATAAAATGCTATGAGAAAGGTTTATTTGCACAATAAGAAAACCTACAAAACCTAACTTTTGTCCTTCCCTTTATAAAAATAAAGATATTTCCACCATAAATTGGTGCAGAAAATGTCTCCAGAATGCAGGAAATTAAGTGTTTAATGCTCAAAATCTTCCGGGGGGGATTGAACATTTTCATCAATATTTCTTTTTAAACTAAATTCAAATTAATTAAGCTAATTTATCATTAAGGTGAAAAGGTGCCACATGCACAAAGACTTTGGACTAAGTCAGGCATGCCTACATGTATGGAATCTCAGCTGGGATTAAATTAAATGAGAAAAGTTGATGTACAGGAGAAACATATCTGACATCAATACAGAATGCCTGACAGCCTTACTGCATAATATTACACTAAATTATTTTAGTTTGAATTGTCACCTCAGACATTTCCTCAATAAATTGATGCAAAAAAAATCACCAGAATGCAGGAAGTGTTTAAAGCCCAAATTTTTCAGGGGGAGGGACCCCCCCTTGTAAATATTATCAGTGTTAATTATTATCAGAAAATGAGACAGATGTTAGAGTTACTGTGTAGAGGTCATTTACTATTGCTTTACAGATGTACTTTGGGCAGGCGGCAACGGGTGGTGGGGGGTGAAAACAGGTGAAAACATGAAAGATTTCTGGGCTGGGCTAAGCCCCCAATGTTTCAATAGCCTGGAAACGCCCCTGGTTCAACTGTATGTATACATATACAATTTTAGATCATTAATTAAGTTAAATAGTGTCCAGTTTAAATGTATTCTGATGAACACATTTATAATATAATGGGCAGCCACTGAGCGGTTACTGCTGAGGGTACATCTGACAGTAAGGTTGGGAGTCAATGCTTTCAATCATTTGCAATGAAATGAACTGAATCAAGCTCACCTGAACTGAAATGTGTTGGTGAAACTGATGTGTACTTTTCGTCCCTAACCTGAACCCTAACCCTGACACTCCCCACAGTATGGTTATCCACCTGACCGGCGATCCATCGCAGCCGGTGTCCCTCCTCAGACCATCACCCAGCAGTCCCTGCAAGGCAAGACAGTGAGTGTTACAGTGCACCCCCTCTCCCCCCACACACTTCATACTGTGAGATTCAATCCACTGACCCTCTGCTTTCAGTAAACTCTTACGAACGGTGAAAAGAATTGTGAGAACATTACACAAATAAAAAAACAGCCTCTTCTGTCCATAGTGTACATTCACACACGTCTCACACGTCTCAGTGATGTTTTGTTCTCAGCAGCCTCTTGTTTTGGGTTTTTCCCGCTTGTCTTAGCAGGTAATTATATATTAACAACCCATACAGACACACACAGTGCAGCAGCACAAGTAAAACTGCCTTTGCTCTTAAATTGAAGTAATGACAATCAAGGGGAGGAGTGGTGTTTCTGTTGGAAGCGAGCTGTGAATAATATTGTGATTGCTTGACAGCAGTTGAGTGCCTCTGCAGTGATGAGTCATTTTGCACAGGGCTTTTGCAGTGCACTGTTTTGTTCGTGACACTGAAATAAAGGACACAGTAAGCATATCACTCCTTTATTTCCGTGTCACGAGTGATATGCTGTGTGTATGGCTGTGTGTGAGACCTACCTGTGTTTGTATTTGTGTCTATAGGTTTGTGTGGTCAATGAAAGGCTACCCCATTTTCAGGAACATTTTCTCTCCGGTTAACATACTGAATGTTTTCCAGGTGTATTTAATGGCCAGGCTCACTCAGCCTTGTGTCAAATGTAGGGGCATTTTCAGATTTGAAAGATTGTAGCAGATGCTTTCTGGGTAATAGTGCACACAGGGAAATGGCCTGGGTGTCACATCTGTTCAGCCCTATCCCTGTTTCAAGCAGTTATCAGAGATACAGTAAAAGGTAAAGGTTCTGGCTGTTGGCTGTATTTTCTTCAGGCGGTTTGGAGAAAAGTGCACTTACCTTTAAGCAGCAATACTATATAAAGTTTCTGGTCTCTTGGGGGCAACACAACAAGCTGTAAACACACCCTCTGACGTTGTCACCTAATACAGTTGCGGGCTGTGAAACCAAAACAAAGAGGCTAAAAAACACAATCGAGATGCGAGTGGGGTGATCATTTTCTCACATTACACACACTCATTTGAGTCATTGTTAATATAAAAATATTGAAAGATGCAGCTTAAAGCTGCCCCACTTGTCGAACTGGCCAGCACCAAATGGCAGAAAGATAACGTAGAGATAGAGTTGGTGCTAATGTTGTGTTGGATCTGCTGGATGTGTGAACAGGCAATTGTTTGCTAACATGTTAGTCATTTTATTTTATTTTATTTTATTTATTTTTTTTTACTGGACAATTTATCAGCTGTGGAAGTATTTCTTCTGCTCTTAAATGCCACCGGAGTCACTGCATCACATTTCAGCCGGTGGGCCGGTGTTGTTGATGTGGTCATTGTGGCAACTGTTCTCTCCTCTGTGTGTTGCTCTGTGCAGCCTGAGGAGCTGACCCTGCTGCTGATCAAGCTCCGCCGGCAGCAGGCGGAGCTCAACAGCCTGCGGGAACATACAGTAGCTCAGCTAATGGCCCTGGGTATTGAGGGGCCCAACGCTAAGGTCAGCCCTGAGAATATACAGAATGTGTGTGTGCATGAAGGCATTTGTGCTTTCCCAACCAGCAGTCAAAATCCCATACTGTGTGTGTTTGTGTGTGTCCTCAAGGGAGGAGAGGTTCCTGGCATAAGACTGTTAGTTTACTCCAAATGAAATAACTTTTGGTGTATTCTGAAAGAATTTCTGAGCATGTTTGATCGATTGCTGTTGATGTTGTCTTTTGTCACATTTTAATGTCAAACCTGTTTGAACACCCCAAATACAATTTAATTTTGGAGTACTGTTCTGGCATGTGGACGCAGGCTAGTGGTGGTGTAGCTGTGTGGGGCATCGATGCGTGGATTTTTGGGCTTTCTTTTGCACCAGTGTGTGTGTGTTTGCATGGGAACAGTACTCCTGTCCATGCATGTCAGCTTGAGGTCTCAGCAGTTGTGAGCCAGGAGAGCACGGATGCATCGGAGCCGATGCATCAAACAACATGGCATCCGTTGTCTCCTTTATGCTTGGTGTACGTAGTGAATGCTGGCTTGAAAACATCAGTGGGCTGTGTTTTATATGCGTTGTTGTATAAACCTAACTAACTTATTGGAATGTTATAATGCATGTGCAATAGGTGTCAGCATGTCTAGCATAAAACATTTTCAAAATTGTTATGCAATGTTGTCAAGTTTTCTAAATGTTATGATTCGTATTGAATATCGAATATGTGTGCTGACTAGTGACCTCTTAACAATCTGCATCTGCTTAACAATGTGTTAAGAGCTGACCAATATAATATATGGATATAAAAGTAGATGCTGTATCATTTGGGATTTTTGGAGATGGTTATATGGTGATCTGATTTCTTGTGTCTTATAGGCTGCTTTACTGTAAACTCATCTATTTAGGCTGCTCCAGCTAAGTGAAGTGAGCAGTGACTCTTTCAAACATTTTTTCATATCCACATTAATAGTGGGATTTTCTTGGCTGTAAGTATCTTCCAGCCCCCCAAGTACTGCAAGTATTGTGAACAAAATACCTCAGTAGGAAGACAGAATGCAGCTGCATCTTCTCGCAGTGCTGCGTGACTGTAGATAAAGTCATGACCCTTTTTATTCCACTATTATTATTATCAGTGACATCTAATAGTCTTGCAATGCTGGACATGCACTTTTTGCATCCTATGTGGCAGCTTTGTTTATCCCTATCACAGAACTCTGGTTGATTTTAGATGAATCTGCCAAACCCTGTTTTTTACCGTTCAATGCCAACCCTTTGAAAAAACTTTTGTTCTACAATATATGTGCATGGCAACAAGAATATATAAATATATATATATTGTTAGGGAAAGATTGTGGTTATGTCAATCAAACTTTGGGTAAGGTTAGTCAAATGAACAAATTCTCACTAAAAAATAAATATACAATGATACATAATTAAATATGCCTTTGAAATGATCATCACATTTTCCTCCTGCCTTCTCTTTTTGTTGAAATGTGTCTTTGGCTCCCTTCTCCTTCCCTTCCTCTGCCCTCTCTCCTTCTCCTGTCTGCCTCTGTCCATCTCTACCAAACATGGCCTTACTTTTCCTGCTTCCTCTCTTCCTTCTCCTGTGGCTATTGCAGACTGATGTTCTTTCCCATCACCTCCAGAGGAACCTTATTTACCTGGACAACCAGGTGAGGACTTGCTAGCTTACTCCTGTCTGTCTCCCTCTCCAGATGCTGCTAAGCAAATAAAACATTTGAACAACATTTGAATCAAAGATCTTTTTACCCATTTTCACTTAGAGGAAACTAACATTTACTTACAGCATACATGCATGTACATTTATGAGAATCTCTGCTCATGGCTTCTTCTTCTTCTCTATTTCTTGTTCATCCTATTTTCTTGAACTCTCTGCCTGTGTAGTCCTTTTATCTGAATAAACTGTTTACTGATCTTGAAACTTCAAATTGCTAACCATGCAGCGGTAACGCTCAAGCTACTCTTTAGCGTTACCGCTGCAGGGTTAGCTCTTCTTCCCAGTTTGAGCACTTTCTAAAGTACTTGCTAAAGGCCTGTCTTTTTTCTGTGTTGACCTTTCCAGTTCCAGCCTGGGTAGGCAGTTTATTTCAGCAGCATGTTTTGTTATATATGTTGAAATTCTCTTTACATCCCGACAGCAATCAATAAATCATATGCTCAGACACAAAGATGAAAAATGTATGTCTCTGTTGATGTTGCAGGACTGTAATAGGCACAGCCAATCATTTCATTCGGTCCAACTGAAATGATTGGCTGGGCTACTTACCTGCCTAACTGCCTACCTGCCTACTTGTTACCTGCTGCACTCTGCCCTGCACTCACTGCACATGAAAATGTGTTTTAGTGGAGTGGCATTAGAGAGAGGCCTGAAGGGAGGGGGTGGGATTTTCTTTGTTGGTGGATACTTTCAGAATCAAGCTGTCTCTTGCTGGTTTCTCAACTGTCACCTACCCCAGCTCTAAGGTACAGGACCATACTGGTTACAGCATAACACAACATGTCACATGGTGACAACAGTGCACACTTCTGACCACACAAAACAAGCTGCAGATTTCATGTTGATTGTCATAGCGTACTGAAAAGTGATGAAACCAATGGCTGTCTGGAAGGCAGTAATGCTGTTGTAATTACAAAGCCTTCATATTTGCACACTGCTTGGAGATGTGTTAAATCACTCACAGCCTTATTTGTATGTACCCAACTGCAGCAACACTCAACCTCTTTGATTGTCTGCAAATGTCAGCCTTGTACTTTCAAGCCAAGAACAGTTCAGACATCAAAGGAAATTTTATAGGAAGCTAAGATAATTTGGGCCAATATGTTTAAGTTGACTGTGGTGTACAGCCACTGGTTGAACAAGTATGTATCTGCCCCCACTCTTAGTGGCACTGATGATAGAAATAATATGGATGTTTCCACTGGAATCTCACTAACATTGTACCGCAGCATGCTCAGGCTTCCGGGCTAATTGCAAGAAAAACATAACCTGTGACAGTTTACAGTCTAAATGAGTTGTTTCAATTTGGCCTTTAGGTTAGAACTAGCCTTCCCACAGTTCCTGCATTATTGAATATGACTGCTCAGCTCTGAAAAGGCAACATGCTTCAGGGAGCGACTATCCTCGCACAGGCTTTGGAGGAGCAAGTGGCTAGCAGTTTGGATGCTAATTGAAAAAATTAAAAAAATCCATATTCAATATATTCACTGCCTGTTTATTCTAAATCACATGTACTATCATTTTCCAAAACCTTTTCTTAAATAAATATTGTCCCAACTTCCTGTCAGTCTTTTATTTAAATTCCTGTATGTATATTTGGAGAGTCACCCTTCAGAGACCTGAAGGTAAACAACTGTTATATTACAATGTTGGTCTTGTTTTTGCAGCTCTGCCATTTGCCATTTGTTGTGACAACACTATACCTACCAATGTAACTGCTGACCATGGCAATATGACTAAAAAGAGGTCTGACAGGTCAAGAAACACAAACAGTTAGACAATCATACCTTGTTTGTAAACATGCAGTCATACAGTAACTCTTCATCCTGCAGGACCACACACTTTAACAGTGGGTGGTAATACCATTGAAGCATAACCACACCTTAAAGATGTTATTTTAAAATGAATTTGAGTGGATGTATCTATGTCAAACATATTTTTCTAGTCTCATTATAAAGGTCTTGACTGGTTGAATATTTTTGGAAATGGACCTGTGGACCTGAAGACAGTCCTATGGCAGATCAACAGTACACTACCCAACCTATTTAGGCTTGAAAATGTGGACCTGGCCCATCTTGGGTCTTTGCGATATTTCATTTACTAGAAACCAAGTGGATCCGTGAAGACCTGTAGTTCATTGTGTACTGGAACGAACTTAAACCTGTTGCTGCCTGCATGGTAAATATGTTTAAGAATGTGAAACAAATAGTGCGCTTTGGAAAATGTTCGATATAAAGGTATTTGTAATAAGTTAACTGATGAAAAACACAGGAATGGTGCTTAAACATATGCTAAAACACTTCAATAAAATGTTGCCTTTCCAAGCTGATGTCCACTGCTTGCTGCCAGCCACAATGGTGAATTCCAATAGAAATGTTGGAAAAAACATGTCCAAAGCTGAGACGATTAGGGTTAAGGGCTGGGGTTGATCATTAAGCTAGAGAACAGTAAACTGTCCATTACACAGTAGTGTTTATCCTGGGGTTTCTCCTGTTTAGAGAGAGGAAACGCATTCCAGCTCGTAGACATCAGTCATTGAGCAGTGGCTAATCCTTCAAGCAACATGTACTGCTGTGTTATTACACCACTGTATCCTCTTTCTCCTTGGCGCTCTGCTAGACGAAGGAGAATGAGCCTCTTATCTTCATGATTCACACTATGATCGAGAACTCTGCACCGAGGCCTCAACTCTACCAGCAAGTAAGGTCTTTGGCAGCTTCTGGCTTGAGTCAAAACAGTCCGTTTGTCTTCTGACATTCTTTTGTTGGGTCAAAATCTCGTGGCGTCATGGAAAATTCACCCATTGTTTGTAATTTAACATTTTAAATTAAAACACCAAAATGCGAGTTTTGAGGTTTGCTTAACTTTCTAGTACATCTCAGTGTACTTAGATCTGAAAGAAAATATGTAGATTTGCAACAACTATCATACACTTCAGTAAGATTGGGGGTTGTTTTCCCAAAATGAATGTCTCTGTTGTTTCTAAATTAACTCTTTAATTTTAACTTGACTGATGTGGATCAGACTCAAACCAGAACGTTGCCCTGTATCCACGTCTTCCCCTTCACCATTGACCTCTGGTTTCACCACTCTGGATGCAGCCAGTCCATTCATCAACCAGCAAACATTCCCAGATGTCATCAGAGCATTATTTAGTGTATATGAAGTTGTTGTTTGGTTCCTACACATCTCATTTCACTGCTTCTTTTGACGCTGTTAGTAGTGACCTGAAGCGAGCATGGCTTGTGGTGTATTGCTACATAGCCATGGATTTCTCCTTTCACCGTCTGTCTTGATATAGAACTGAAATGCTTGCACTGTTTGTATGTGTTTGTCTTAAAGTCTGTTTTTCAGATGTTCTGTGGTAATGTTTTTCAGTATATAAATTAATAGTTCAACATTTTAGGAAATGCTGATTTGCTTTCTGGACGAGAGTGACAGTGAGTCTGGACATGGTTAGCCTTGCTTAGCATAAAGACTGAAAGCAGAGGAAAACATCTACCAAGTTTAAAAAATATGCCCTCTAAGGCTCACTAATGAATGCTGGCCACACACTAGAGGACACTCGCGGGGTGTTCCCGATCCAAGGCTGGTCGGAACAGATTGTCAGCTCAAATGATCCTGTAGTGTGAGAGGTTTACAGAAGTAATCCCAAATTGTAAAGTAAAGAAAGGAACAGCGATGGAATATTGATCAGAAACCCACAACAGCCAAAGTGAGCTGACTGGGAAGTATCACCAAAGTGTTGTGTATTTGCTCATGCTATAAAATATCTAAAACCATGCTGATTCCATCTTCTCAGCCACAAGTTCATCTACAGTTTTATTTTCTTTTTTAGTTTTTAGTGTAAAGGATTGTTGTTCAACATGTAACTGCCCATGAAGCTATCATTTTTACAGAGTAAACAAAGAAGAATGTTAGTCAGTGAGCTTTAGAGGTGTTGGCAGGTGTATCTTTAAACTTTGAACAGAATCTTTATGCTAAGCTAGGCTAACTAGCTCTGTGGAAGTATATTGATGACAAAAGATTTGAGCGAGAACAAAACTGATTCTGAGTCTGCAAGTCGACCTCTGAGAGAGCAGAATCAGATGTGACCGTGTAGTGCTGATTATGCACGTGCTTGTTTTGCTCTGTTAGTTTCCTCCAGCTGTTTTGGCAGGCTCTAAGCACTTGAGGTCGCTTGCCAGCCATTTTTGACTTGCAAGCTGCAACAGGACACACCCACATCCGGGTCTACACAAGCTGTGAAATATATTGCTCCTCTTTTTACCATCTGACTATTTAAGACATGTGATTTACATGTTATCTGCCTTAATGCTGCTTCTGGAGTCCCTCTGTGAGGGTTTGAACTGCGTCTCTCAGCTGTATTACCTGGAACAAAGTTGTCCATAAAATTGTGTTCCATAAAAATGTCGGGGCTAGACTACTGTAACAGCTGGTCCCAGATGTCATTACTCTGGGACCACTAAAAATCTGCCTCAGTCTGCCCTCATCTATTACCTTTTCTCTCTTCTCATCAGTCGCCCCAGTGTACTTTGTGTTCATGCTGTGTAAGACAGCAGTTATATTACATAACACTGTTGCTTTAACAGTAGTTTTAAGTCAGTGATTTGCGCGTGGAGGTGCACTGAATGCACTGTAGCTGTGGAGACTGAAAGCAGGTTATAGAGATGCAAGAGATTATGTAGGTTTGGTTTCAGAGGCAGAGGGACACGCTGGCATCAGCCAACCAAAAACCAGAAAGAAAAAACAACGCAAAACCCCATTTTTGAACTTTCTTTTATATGGCATTCATTAGTGTAACACAGGCAGGACGTAGTAGTGTCTATACTCTGGGTGCACGCAAGTTTTATTTCTAAAACTTGGAAAATTAGGCAAACTAGACTGACTAATACATTTCATGCATGCAAAGTATGAAGGCATACAGAATGTACAATTTATGTTTTCCCTTTAATTTGTGTATTTGGTCTCACACCTATTTACACTAATAGTCTGAAATTGATGGTCTGCCTTGTAAGCCCGTTTGGGCTGGCCATCTACTGTTGTAAAATACTGCATAAGTAGATTTGTGCTGTTGGACATAATTTAGTCCTTCTAAATGTCACTATTTTTTATCACTATTTAGTTATACATATTTTACAGTATAATGTTATGATGGTCAATGTGAGAATTTATCAACAGTCAGGGAACAGTCATATGAAAATCTGCAGGCAGCAGCAGTGCCACCAACAATACAAGCAGCAAAAATCAAAGTGTGTCTTAAAATGTGTCTAAATGCATGATCACCAAAACCTGAGGTTAGGTGAGGTTACAAGAACGTGCATCGGGCACACAACACTGCCCCCAGATGACATGGGAAGTTTTTAGGGAGTCCTGTCTAAAATAAGAGTTGGCCTTCATGTCTGTATTATGATCACACAAACCCTGAACATTAGATGTAGTTTTATTGATAGAGAAGTGAGATTGAGACAGCGCTGTACCTACACCTCTAACCACCAGCCACTAAAGTCAGTAAAGATGGAATAGGACTGAAATATAATTGTCTCAGGACCACTGTCTTTTCTGCATTGATTACGTTGATTGATGGATTCTAGTGTCTTTATTAAAATAAGTAATCTACAGCCAAAAAAATGTATTATTTTTTTCACCCAGAAAACATGCAGTGGAGCGTGAGCAGTTTTTAAATGTGTGTGTGTCTGCAGAATACTTTACCAATCACAGGTCAGCCTCTATGTGGTTGTGCATCACCATTTGTATCTTTTTATTATACCATTGTTTTATTTTCTGTTTACAGAGATTTAAGTGAGTAAAACAGACTGAAACTGTAAAAATGGAGGTGAATGCACACATGTCCTCCCAGTTCCAGTCACCATTTGATTAATACGTATATTAGCTTGGGACTTCATTTTATCTTTATTAGTGCGTCTGCCCTCTCAGGCTACACCTCCACATGTCTTTCTCTACATACTTCCCTAATATTCAGCCACAGTATCCCTGGTAACACCTGGGTGAACAGCTTCAAGGGAAAGGAACCGGATTAGTGAATCCCTTAATAAGCTCATCCCTTAATAAGCTCATCCCTTTATCCCCTCATTCCCTGTTATAGAATGAACAGTTTCTACTTCAAATCTGCAGCATTTGGGGAAAATGACTTTAAGCCTTAATAAAAGACACTATCTCTTTGGTTAACCCACATCTTGACTGACTGCATTCTCTATGCATTGGGAACAAATTAATAAAAAAAAACCTACATAATGGAAAGTAGCATTTTGGACGAGAACTTTTCATGGCTGGAGCTCTCACTCAGCTCTCCACCTAACAGACGTGTTGTTGTCGCCCCCTGCTGTCCGTCTCTGACTGTGCCTCCTTGTTTCAGATCAGCCCAGACGAACACAAAGATAGCTCCTTCATCCAGCGCACAGAGGAGGCCGACATAGACGTAAGACAAGCAGAGCTTTCAGTGAAATTAACAATAAGTTAGATAAGTAAAAAGAGAGTTTAGTTGGTGTGTGTTCGTGTGTGTCAGACCAAGCTGAGCAGACTGTGTGAGCAGGACAAGGCGGTGAGGATGCAGGAGGAGAAACTGCAGCAGCTACACAGAGAGAAGGTACAGCTGTCAGAGTGTGTATTTGTATTTGTGTCTTTGTGTAGACTCATATGTACAATAAGTGTTTGTGTGTTGTGTGCAGCACACTCTCGAGACAGCCCTGCTGTCTGCCAGTCAGGAGCTGAGTGAACAGAGCGGCTCGAGCGGTGCAGCCAATCAGAGCCTGGTCCAGCAGAGAGACGTGCTGCAGAACGGCCTGCTCAGCACCTGCAGAGAGCTGGCCAGAGTCAACACTGTGAGCACACCAATACACACTTCCACACACACACATCACTGCAGGAATCCTGAACACAAGTGCAGACCAAGGAACTGCTCCTGGGTCTGTATTCATGTATGGTGATTTAGGCCTGTCACAGCTGACAGCTTCAGCAATAACAGGTCGAACTTTGCTCTAATGCCAGAGTCAGACTGCACAATGTCAGTGTCATAATGACTGATGTACTGTTTCAAAACAAACAAGCCCATTTTTAAAGAATAGTTTTTCTGTTTTTTTCTGTTCAACTAGTGATTGGCTATAGTTTAGGTCTCCAGGGAGAAATTAGGCTCAGAAGGTCTAGAACACTGAGACTCTCCTTTGTCCAGCCACATACACATTCTTGTTGAAAATCTGAGGATGTACAGACACCCAAATCATTTCAAGTAGCGTGTAACTTATTTCTCATGCAGCAGAATATAAGAGGAATGGGAAGAAGGAGTGATGTAGAATTTCTTTTGGGAACACATTTTTGGGCACATGCACACACATACAGTCCCATGACCCTACTTTCGGCTGGTGTCCTGGTTTCAGGAGTTGGAGCGCTCCTGGAGGGAGTACGACAGGTTGGGGGCAGATGTCACTCTGGCCAAGTCCAACCTGCTGGAGCAGTTGGAGGCCCTGGGCAGCCCTCAGGTAACACACACTCACACACTCACACTCTCACATGCTTTCTGGGGCGATCAAGCTTTTAACAGCATGCCCTTTTGTATGTTTTGTGTGTGTGTGTGTGTGTGTTTGTGTCCTCAGACAGAGCCTCCAAGCCAGCGGCACATCCAGATCCAGAAGGAGCTGTGGAGGATTCAGGATGTGATGGAGGCTTTGGCCAAAAATAAACCACAGCGGAGCACAGACAACAGTGAGAGTCTTGAATAACACTTAAATTAGGTTCATTATATTCATCTGATGTGATTTACACTGAGGAGGGATGTGATGCAGCTTAAAAGGACACATGGTTTGAGTACAGACAACAGATGCTTTCTCACTTGTCCTCTGTTATGGAGAATGCTACAGTCCTAATCCTCTGCTTTCCACATTCCCCTTGTTCAGCAGCTTTTCCTGATTCCAAACCACTTTCCAGTCTCCAGAAGAATGAGGTAAGGCAGCACCCCAGCACATACACCACACTCAGTCTCAGCTAAAGCCTCTGGCTCCAAATGATTTCTTTTTTATTAAACCTTTATTTAACCAGGCAGAACACTCTAATTTACAAGGACTGCCTGGCAAGAGGGTGTTAACCTCTTGAGGGGAGGGGGAGTGGAGACATTTTGAAGTAGAGTAACCAGCAGGGGTGGAACGGCATGTGCATTCATCAAAACATAAAAAGGTGACTCTCTGAGAGACACCAGCTGGCAATCTAACCTGTTTGCTAAAGAGTTAGCATGAAGCATGTGACCATAGGACTCCCCAGGAACATGGCTTTCCTTGGTATGTTCTTCTCAGCATTCGATTAATCACTGGATTTCCTTTTTTTTCAGCCAGTTAAATACTGTTGTGTATTTTTTTACACTGTTGCAGGTCATTTTGCCACTAAACTCACTAAACATGCTATAAAAATCAACATGCTGAATCTTGAAATTTGCTAGAGGTGCCTATCAAGTAAAGTCAAACTTTATTTATATAGCACATTTCATACACAGGGAACAATGTGCTTTACATAAAGTGACAATACAATTGCAAAAAAGTGAGTGTTCAGTGTAGGGGCCTCTCTCAGATGGTTGGGTCATAGATACAGACCCACCTCCCCTGCTTTATTAAGAGGGACGGTTTAAAAGACCATGTGGACCTGAGAGTTCTTCCTGGTTTGTATATAATGAGAATGTCTGTTATATACTGAGGTGCAAGGCCACTTTTTACACAAGTACCAGCATCTTCAAAGCCATTCTGGTTTTGAATGGGAGCCAAGGAGAAGTAACAACAGGTGTGCTGTGTTCAGACATTTTAGTTCTGACGAGAACTCGTGCAGCCGCATTTTGAATGAACTGCGGTGAATATGCTGTTGTAGTCTAGTCACTTTGTTATTAATGCATGGATTCATTTCTCCGATTCTGATTAGTGACCTATCAAGGTGACCTTTATTGCCAAACACACTACAGTAGGTTTGGTAATGCAGTTGTGAGCAGGGAATGCTTTCTATAACCTTTAAGTCTTGTGTTGTCTGTTTATTCCAAGAAACAACCAAGTTGATGGTGTGCTTTACACTGTACTGTTTTTTCTCCTCTGGTTAGATTTTTCAACAACGTAGCTCTGTAATTTGTCCTTCAGAGGCCAACCCTCAAGGTTTGTTCAGGCGGAACACAAAGCATGTTGTTGACTTCTGTAGTTGTGTGAATTTGACCGCTGGCTGGTCTGTTTTTGCCGTTTGTGCAGTTCCCCTCAGCTCTACATTCTAGCATCTTCCAGCTCATTGTTTTGGATAGACTTTTCTGTTTTAGTTCACAGCTCATCGGACTAATTTCCAGCAGCAGCAGGCTGCTGTTTTTAGTGAAAAGGCTGATAAACCCACTGTTCACTACCTGCCCAGCAGCCAGGAGCAGACGAGACATAGTCAGTGTCCCGCTTGCAACGGTCCGGTAATACTGTATGATTTCCTTGGAATGACACTAGCTGTGTTAACTGTCAACAGGCAGTGACGCTTTTGCCGCTCAGTCCTCTCAAGGAGGGTGACAGCGTGCCCCCTCGCCCGCCCCTCCCCCAGTACTATGACTCATCAGATCGCCCCCTCCACGTGCCCCCCCACTACCCACACCCCGGTGGCCGCCTGCCGTCCCACACGCACCGCCCAGAGGATCGTAAAGCCGGCTCCAGGAATGGAGCGCACAGCGTAAGAACCTCTGAAAACCGTCATGCCCTCCCATTTTTGCTCCCTCCATCTGTGATCGTCATCAATTAACACACTGGATCTCTCCATCTGAACGATTCAGTCATTTCTACATTCAATGTCACATCTCAGCTCCATCCTAAATGCTGAATTAGGATACACTGAAGACTCATTCCTCAACCAGTGCCAGTTCAGTGCTAAGTTCTTTTCACCCATGCGATCCATGCTCCATCCAGCTGTCACTGTCCCTCTCCTACAGTGTCACATTCAGACCCATTCTGGTCCGTGCATAAATTTATTTGTGAAATTTCGTTGGAATGAGGCTGATGTCTGATTCTCATGAACTTCTCCTTGTAAAACTATGAGTTTAATCACATAATACTGCACCTTTATGTTAGGACTGAAAATCTGAACTTTCTGTAGTTACTTTGAGAAAGACTTATATGAGCCATTACATTTCCATGTAATGTAATGTAGTAGAGTAAACAAAGATCATACATGTGTGCGAGGATGTGTGTATGTGCCTGACTGCTGCCAGATGGCCTGTGTTCTGACCCTGAGCCACCTCGCTCCTCTCCCTTTCAGCAAGCTCCAGACTACAGGTTGTATAAGAGCGAGCCTGAGCTGACCACAGTGAAGGAGGAAGTGGACGAGGCCACCAGTGAGGAAAAGGACAAGACAGAGACCTCTGCTGAGAGTAAAGACACTGCAGCCCTGAAAGGTACTCCTGCACTCAGTCACATAAAGCTGTGGAAGTCCATTCTTAATGCTCAGGACGTATGGGCATTCACATCTGCTCTGTTCTCCATAGTGCTGGGACAGGCAGGATTGTGGTGAAAGCTGAAACATATTTGAGGTTAAAGAAGGAGGAGAATCCGTAAATATGTAACATTTCAAAGATACTTCCAAAATTGTGGACCCCCTGGAAACAAGACCCTAACTTCCCTGCCCTGGTATTTCCTTTAGTATTAAGAGTGTTTCCACAATACAAACATGAAAGACACGTCATTTTAATTCCCAGTTAAAGAGCAGACACTGTATCACTGGAAACACATCTGTCATTACATTTCTCCCATTTCCTTATTTTATATACATACAGTGCCTTGCGAAAGTATTCGGCCCCCTTGAACTTTTCGACCTTTTGCCACATTTCAGGCTTCAAACATAAAGATATAAAACTGTAATTTTTTGTGAAGAATCAACAACAAGTGGGACACAATTATGAAGTGGAACGAAATTTATTGGATATTTCAAACCTTTTTAACAAATAAAAAACTGAAAAATTGGGCGTGCAAAATTATTCAGCCCCTTTACTTTCAGTGCAGCAAACTCTCTCCAGAAGTTCAGTGAGGATCTCTGAATGATCCAATGTTGACCTAAATGACTAATGATGATAAATAGAATCCACCTGTGTGAAATCAAGTCTCCGTATAAATGCACCTGCTCTGTGATAGTCTCAGAGGTCCGTTTAAAGCGCAGAGAGCATCATGAAGAACAAGGAACACACCAGGCAGGTCCGAGATACTGTTGTGGAGAAGTTTAAAGCCGGATTTGGATACAAAAAGATTTCCCAAGCTTTAAACATCCCAAGGAGCACTGTGCAAGTGATAATATTGAAATGGAAGGAGTATCAGACCACTGCAAATCTACGAAGACCTGGCCGTCCCTCTAAACTTTCAGCTCATACAAGGAGAAGACTGATCAGAGATGCAGCCAAGAGGCCCATGATCACTCTGGATGAACTGCAGAGATCTACAGCTGAGGTGGGAGACTCTGTCCATAGGACAACAATCAGTTGTATACTGCACAAATCTGGCCTTTATGGAAGAGTGGCAAGAAGAAAGCCATTTCTTAAAGATATCCATAAAAAGTCTCGTTTAAAGTTTGCCACAGGCCACCTGGGAGACACACCAAACATGTGGAAGAAGGTGCTCTGGTCAGATGAAACCAAAATCAAACTTTTCGGCAGCAATGCAAAACGTTATGTTTGGCGTAAAGGCAACACAGCTCATCACCCTGAACACACCATCCCCACTGTCAAACATGGTGGTGGCAGCATCACGGTTTGGGCCTGCTTTTCTTCAGCAGGGACAGGGAAGATGGTTAAAATTGATGGGAAGATGGATGGAGCCAAATACAGGACCATTCTGGAAGAAAACCTGATGGAGTCTGCAAAAGACCTGAGACTGGGACGGAGATTTGTCTTCCAACGAGACAATGATCCAAAACATAAAGCAAAATCTACACTGGAATGGTTCACAAATAAACATATCCAGGTGTTAGAATGGCCAAGTCAAAGTCCAGACCTGAATCCAATCGAGAATCTGTGGAAAGAACTGAAAACTGCTGTTCACAAACGCTCTCCATCCAACCTCACTGAGCTCGAGCTGTTTTGCAAGGAGGAATGGGCAAAAATTTCAGTCTCTCGATGTGCAAAACTGATAGAGACGTACCCCAAGCAACTTACAGCTGTAATCGCAGCAAAAGGTGGCGCTACAAAGTATGCTTAAAGTTTGAAATATCCAGTAAATTGTTGTTGATTCTTCACAAAAAATTACAGTTTTATATCTTTATGTTTGAAGCCTGAAATGTGGCAAAAGGTCGAAAAGTTCAAGGGGGCCGAATACTTTCGCAAGGCACTGTACATATACTATATTCATGTATGTATTGTGTGTATCTTTATATGTTGCATTGTTTCTTATTGTATTTGTAAGGTTGATTTGTGCTGCTGTAATTGCATTAAACACTAATCAAACTGATTGTTTTTCAAAATGACAACTTGCTGATAAACAGCTCTGGATGTCCCTGAATGTCTCCTCTTCATTATTTTAACATGGTCTGCGTCTTTTGTGAAATGGAGCACGGTTCAGTTTCCCTGAGTGCAGTGTGTGCTAATGTGCAATCTCTTTTAGCAGTGCCCCCCTATCCAGTGGGCATTGTTCCTCCCAGGACAAAATCTCCCATGAGCCCTCCCGAGTCCACCACCATCGCCTCCTATGTCACCCTGAGGAAGACCAAGAAGCCTGAATCTAGATCAGTAAGTTTTGCCCTTGGCATCAACAGAGACAAAAATTGTTTTGATGAAATAAACTGATTCCAATTCAGCAGATGTGTCAGAATCAGCCCAAAGGAGGACTGCGTGGGTGAACATCTCTTTGAGTCAGAGCTCTGTAGATTCTTAATCTTTCTCACCAAGAAGGAAACGCTTATCTGCATGTACACTGACACGTTGCTTTATGTGACGCTCTCCTTCAGAGGCAGTGTACTTGCTCCAGGAACCATTTTGGCACATATCACATATTTGCATGTGTTGCCTGACAGGAGATTCCCCTTTTCCCTTCAGGCTTACTGCCTTTCTTCAGTTCTCTGGCTTTTGTTCTGGGTAAATTTAATGTTCAAACATACTTCTTGTTTTCTTTTTTTGTTTCAGTGCAAGATACACAAAGATGTCTTTGTAGTCTTTAATGGCAGTTGTTGGGCAGAGGCTTCTGCTCCACTTAATCTTGTCTTGTGCTGCGCCCTCCATCAGCCGTTCGGATACACATTTACTGGACATTCTCTTTATTTACCCCAGCTACAGAGATCCAGGCCTCTTCTTTTATTAAAGTTTTGAGAAGCACATTTCATAATGCTGTAAAGAGCAATAGGCTATATGAATTCCTGGTGGGGTTTTATTGTGAAACGTCTGCAGAAGGTGCTGATTTTAATGTGGTCATGGTTGAAATGACCTCAGGAATAGTGACTGAGTCCTTTATTTACTTCAGCATTAGAGAGAGCAGCAAAATTACAAAACAGACCTTTTGGAACAGGAAAGCAAAAATGGATTATAAGTGGGGTCTTGTTAAGAATGTACAAAACACTTCCTGCACAGATGTTTTGTAGATGATTAGCATTAACAGTGACATCATACAGCTTGGACATAGCAGCAGGAGAGTGAACAGAGAAAAAAACATAACTTTTCACTCCATAAATGTTTCATTTGGAATAATAAAGATACCAGGTTTAAAAATAAAACTTTATTTTTTGATAGCTGGGTTAAAAATTATATAGTGTTAGTGACACAATTGCTAAATGAAAATGGACTCTTGCTCTCTCATACAGAATTCCAGTTACACCTAAAGAATTTGCTATTGTTTTCGATGCAATACCTTCTGGTCTTTTGTTGTCTGTCTGTCTGTCTGTTCTCTGGTTAATGCACACTCATCACTCCCCCGTTTACCTGTTGTCTTGATACATTCAAGATAATGTATTAGTACACACTACAGCACTGATCCCACGAGGACAACAACAGAATACTTTTACCTGTTTCTACTTTGCCATTTCTTTCACTTGTAAAGCTTGGCCTTCCTGCACATATCTTTCCCAAAAGTAATGATCCCTCCCTTCCCAGGAAGGATTTTCATGTGAAATGTCTGCAGGAAGTGCATACTGTTATATTGACAGTAGCCTAATACTGATGGAAAAAACAGCAAAATAGATGCAAAAAAAAAATTTTGATTTTGTGGTACTGATTATACAGTACCACTGTACTGACACAGTTAGAACTGTGGAAATGTACTGGATGCTGAATTCCACTGCCACATCACCCCTAAAATGCTTTAACCAGCATTTATTAGGCCCAGCTTTTATTTAGAAATGACAGTAATATGCAGTGATGTGAGCACAGGACCAAAATGTGGAATGTGTAAAAATAAAGATGACATATTTACCTAAACATAGGATGTGATGCAGTGAGAAATGATTCTATGGACAGCTTTAATATCCACAGCAACTTGGACCGCCATTGAGGGTAGTGAAGTAAAAACATACACTCAGAGACTCATGCAAGAAGAAAGATGGATGTAACATTGAGTCTTGTCCTGCACAGGAGCGTCCCAGGAGTGCAGTGGATCAGACGTGGTTTGGGGAGCGAGAGGTGGGCAGAGCCAGGATGAGTGTGGAGGAGCAGTTGGAGAGGATGAGGAGAAACCAGCAGGCTTCATCACTCAGGGAGAAGAAGAGAGAAATACCATCCCGCTCACCGTCCTTTAGCAAAGACTGCCCTTTTGTTATCCCTCAGGTGACCCCCCCCCCCCCCACACACACACCACACACACACACACACACACACACACACACACACACACACACCGAAGCCCGCGATAGCTTATAAACTAGCTCTCCTGCTTACTTCAAACATTTTCAATCTGTCAATTCAAGTGTGCATGTGCGACTGTGTGTGTGCACGCGCAGAGTCGGGTCCAGGCGGAGGGGGCCTGTGCAGACCCTGTGGAGCTAGAGGCGGCTTTGCGGCAGCTGAAGGAGGCTCACATGGAGCAGAGCAGCACAGCTGAACCTGCACCACAGGTTCATGGAATATTTTTATTAACATGTTTTTATTCTAGTCATAGTCACATTCAGTAAGTTGTGGACACTCTTTTCTTGGCAATCAATTCCAACTGTAAGAACTCACCCCTGTACTGACTTCAGTCCAATACAGTTTTTTCAATCATTGTTAAGCTACTGGTTAAGTACAGGGTGGGTTACATAACCTTCATATATGTAGTGCAGTGCATAGTATACCATCATGAATGAGGTGTAAAGCCACATTTCTAATGATGACTGCACAAACAGCTTCTTACACGATTCTATTTCAATCTCCAGAAAGTGCAGAGAGCTGAGGAGTGTGTGGAAGTGCAGCAGGAAAGGGATGTGGCCCTGCAGAGTGTACACCATGAGGTACTGTATTTCAGACGCCTCACTACTCACTTGACGCACACCTGCTTCACGTCAAGTCCTGCCCCCTACTCTGCCTCTGATTGGCTAACCCTAAGCCTACCCTTAACCAATGGAGGCAACGAGTACTAGCCACTAACAGGCAAAGTCGAAAAATCTGGTGGGGGGGGGGAAATAATGCTTTTTTTGAACAGTTCTGCTTCACTTGAAAGTTCCAAATGAAATTACTTAATTTGTCAAAGGATATATTTGGTATCAATATTTTTCTTACTGCCAACCAATTCCATAAAAAAAAAAAAAAAAAAGTTGTTAGTTGCCTGCCCTGTGGCTCTCACCCCTGAAGCCCATTGCTTTATTAGAGGAAATTGTTCTTTGTTGGGGACTGCACATTTGGTGCAATACAACACAAGTCTGAACAGAAGCTCAAAGTTGACCATGCACAGAGAAATTTGCATCTTGTAACAGCACCGCCCTCTGAGATCACTAATAGACAGTTTTATTCATATAGCCCAATATCACAAGTCTGCAGCATACAACAGCCTTTAAATAAAAGTTTAGTTTTCATTTTAACTTGCTATGAAATACTGTGAAAAGGCATTTTCTAAGTTGTGGAGTTGAGATCAGATCAGTCTATTAAACCTTTTTTTCCCCTCGGGGTGCAACTGGAGGAGAAGAGGTAACAACCACTGTAATAAACTGCCTGGACAAATCAGTGAATATCCAGCAAAACACTTTAAATACTAAAAGGAATGAAAGGAGAATGCCAGTCATTCAGTGCTCACTCTATGCTGATGTTAAATGATGAAATTGATGCAGAAATAAATCTGTTGTGATGCTATTAAGGCTTCAACAGCAAAATAAGATTTTAAGTCCATCAGTGATACAACATGTGAAATAATAATAATAATTACTAAATACGTTTTTATTTTTTATTGTTGCCTATGAATGTTTGTCCAGAATAATACTGACCTCGGTATCTGTCAGCTCATAGTACTGGTACAGTGCAGTGTGCTGGAGGCTACAGGAGCAGCAGGTGGAATAGAAGGACACACAGCTTCAGTATACACAGCTCTCTCTGTTAAATTCACTGTCTGGAATCCCAGGCCTGTCTGCCACACAGCAGCTAATCTGCCATTGTGGTCGTAACATCTCTGAGTGTAATCTGGGACAATAACAGAGGATTTGTGGGAATGTGGAAGAAGCCAGGTTGGCTTTAAGATGTTTATCTTCTGGATTCAGTCAGGATTGCTAGCTGGGACTGGGCTGCTCTCCAGTGGGTGCCACTCGGGAGCTCTGTGGAGCCCTAGACTGTACGCACCACCCTCATTCCACCATAGACAGAGACACACAGACATGTTCTTTCATTCACCCAGTTCACTAGCTGACCTCTGTTATCATCCACCATCAGGTATACTTACATATTTTACTCTTAGCTGTGGTGGTCAGTACTCACACAGCAGTAGTCTTGCACTGCATGTTACACTGACAGCACACTTGGAAGCACAATTCCTATTGCTATGATTAAAAAAGTGGACTTCCAGTTTGCTTTGAATAAAGAGAACTGTCTAATTCCTTCTACGAATACTGCTCTTTAGATGTCTTTTCCTGCACAACACGGCCATGCACAGCATGCTAAACTCACCATTTTCTAATTAAGGTCTTTGTGTGTTTGTGTTTCAGCTGTGTGAAAGCAATAGGGTGGTGATTCTGGACCTGGGTATGGAGCCTCAGCATGTGGAGATTGTAAACCTTCAGCCTTTTGAGGATGACGAAAGCAGAGAGCAAGAACTGACAAGCTCGCCAACGAACACTACCACCGAAAACAGGTGTGTGTGGGTGTGTCTTTGTGCTAAGAACTCTTCAACTTTCTCTGGCGTGTGACTCCATTTTTAAGTCCCAAAATGCTTTTGACCCCATATCAGTGCAGCCAGAAAGACTATAGGCTGAGACACCTGTCAGTCAAGGCAAGTAATGCATAGTGATTTAGAGCTGCATTACGGGATTTACTTGAGCCACCTCAGGGCGGAGGAATATTCGCTCTCCGTTTAACTCTGGTTTGGTCTCCATCCCCAGCTGGTCCCTCACTGTGTCTGCTGCCGGTGCTGGGCAGGTAGCCTACAGGAAGTTAGTCCGAGCTGCCGTTGCTGCTGGAAACCAGGGTGATGAGAGCTGAGTTTAAAGCTAGAAAATGCTATGTGTGTGGAACAAGGGCAAAGGGATCTAAAGGATACAAAAGACTGTGAAAATAGATACCTGTTGTTTTTCTTGTCCTAGCAACAGTGACCCATTCTGCTTCTGCTGATTGTAGCTTCCAAACTCCTGAGCCTGAGACGCCGAGCCCAGAGCCTAGGGAGGAAGAATCGGAAATGACACAGCAAATCACCAGAGAGGAGAGGCTAGAGAATAGCTTAGATTCTCCTAACCAGCAAACAGCAGACGACAAGAAACACAACAACAACAACAACAACATGTTGGCGTGTAAGTCAAGCCTCCCTCCATTGCTGCTGTACTTGTGATCTTTAAAGTTGTAGCATCTGTGTCTGTCAAAACTAAGACCACATCTCACGTCAACCCACTGCACTCGCTCACCGAGGCAAGGCAACTTTATCTGTACAGCACATTTCATACACCACATTCCAATGTGCTTTACAGGGTAAAAGCATATATATGGCAACGGTAAAATATTTACAATTTTAAAAAGTACAGACAAGTGATACAAGAGATACAAAATAAATACAAATTAGGGCTATTTAAAAGCAAAGCTAAGAAGTTCAGTAGTAGGCAGTGTTACATACGTTGTTAAAAGGTTTTTAGCTTTGACTTGAAAGTGGTCAGTCTGGGCTCGTCTTATATCACCTGGGAGGTTATTACAGGTGTGTGTTCATAACAAATGCTGCTTCACCGTATTTTGTTTTCACTCTTGAGACAGCCACCAATGTCAGTACAGTACTGAAATGAACTTGCCTTAACTTTGAATCAGTCAAATCTCACTGAAGATTTAGGACACAGAGATGTCTTCTGTAATGTGTCTGGGTTAGTGACATGAAGAGTTTACATTCTCTAAGGCTGATGGAGATCATTTCATGTACAAGGTTTCTTTTTTGAGGCAAAATACTAAATAAATGAATATAAAACAAGTTTTGTATTCTGTACTAGAATATGTAACTTAGCTGGTTGCTAGTCCAAACTTTAGGTTGGTGGGCTTCTAGGCATTGGAAAAAGCTGGCCACAGCCCTGCACATACTGTATTGGACTTGATTGGGTTGATACCAACATTTTTAGACCCCTTAGATCTGGCTATTTAGGGGAAATATAAATCAACACATAAATATAATATAATATATAAGGATAAATAAAAATCCAACAATGAATGGATTTTCAGAGATTACCTCTTCAGAATGGTATCTCAAACTGAGTGGGAAACTCTGGGGCCCTACTTCTGCTAAATGAGCAATAAAACTGAGCAAAGATTGCACTTGAACAGTAAAATGACTGAATTGGAATCAAAGACAATACATTTTCCAGATGCTAGATACAATGTAGAAACACAGACTGCTTATGTGAATTGAGTAAACTGCTCAATTAACTCTTAATTGCCTCCTAACTGTCGCACTCCTCTGTGGCCAGTAGCTTAAACGTGTGTGTGTGTGTGTGTGTGTGTGTGTCTTCCTCTGTTCACATTATAAAGAAAAGCTTACTGACTAAAGTTTGAGAAGGTAAATCCCTGCTGCCGCTCCTGAGCCTCAATTATAAATGGTGCGTATGCACAAAACAGGGCTGGAAACGTGAGTACGCCACTTCCCAATCAACGGTTATGATCTATAATAAACAAACTTGATGGGAGTTTGCAGTCCTTCATGCAAACTCTGAGCCATTCCTACGCACATAAACTGGAGAAATGAGAAACGGCGACTCACATGGCAGAGGAAGGAAACGTTAAATAAATCAAAATATTACCTCTGAGTATTATAGACTAATAAAACTTCATATAATTGAATATTAGTTCATTTGCAAAACAGATGAAACAGATGACCCGTTGATTTTCACTAAAGTGCTCAATAAAAAAATCATTTAAAAAGGTGGTATTATGCTAATTTTCAGGTTCAAAATCCTATTTAGGGGTTGTACCAGAACAGGTTTACATGGTTTAATTTTCAAAAAACACCACATTTTTCTCATACTGCACATTGCAGCAGCTCCTAAATGATCTTTGTTGGGAGTTGCACATGCACAGTTCCAAGTTCCTACTAGCCAATCAGAAGCAGAGATGTGCGGGTCAGTGAGAAGCTGGTACACACGGCTTCGTTTCAGCTGTACATGTTGCCGACCAGCTTGGCAACATGGACTGGAGCAAGAGTTTCAGAATGGTGAGTAATTAATCTGTAACAAAAGTATCTTTCATCCATGAAGTTTTAACTGAGCTCTGTCTCTACATCACAGTAACAACTTTATGTCCACTGACTGCCTGGAGGGTAGCTAGTGTTTGGAAGGGAGAGGAGAGGTATGTGCTGCAGCTCAGCGTTTTTCCACCACTGTTTTTGAGGGCATGTCAGAGTAGCTGCTTGGCGAGCATTATATGACGGTTGGACTACAAACGAGCTGTTTTCAGTTCAGAGCAGAGTTTTCTGTGGGAGATGGGAACTCCCTTTGGGCTTTTTCACTTTGCAAACCTGCTACATGCACAAAAAAGGAATATAACTCTATAAAGGAGAGGGGAAAAGGGAAAAAGCATAATACTACCTCTTTAAGATCATTTGCAGCGCATACAAAAAGAACAGGGTTTAGGATAATAAACACAAACGGAGATATCTGTTTTTGCAAAAAGAATGCAGTGCAATTTATTCTCAAATAGGGTGAACAGGAGGACAAATTACATTTAAACTGATGCCGTTTTCATTGCCTCAGTCGAGCAAATACGAGTGCATAGTTTGATATTTTATATTATATTAGTTTCTTTTCAAACGGGGGAATCCAAATTAATACCTGGGTCATCCCGTCCTGCGTATGTGACTCCCTCCAGCCAGTGACATCACTACTCAGGAGGGATGCCCCTTCCTACAGAGGGGGTGGAGCTACGGTACCCCCTTTCCTCCGGTGAAACCTTTTTCATTTTAAGTTAATAAAAACTTGGTCAAGACTGGTAATCAAAGAAAATCAAAGATAAGAAGCGTAATAAAACCAAGATGGTATGCAGCACCTACAGCACAGACTGACAGATAAGCCTTGGTAAAATCACTTAAATATGACACTGCTGAAGTCACACGTACACACATAATAACATAAAGGTACAACACTGTCTATACTACATGGTGACCACAGACTTATCTCAGATCAGGCTGTACACTTGTTTAGTGTGTCCCATGTCTGTTAGCAAATTAATTTTGTGTGCAGATTGAAATTGCTTCTGAAAATATCAACTGTGTGTATGAATACAAAATAAACAACATCTGCTTCTAACAAGTCCACGCTATACCTGCAGAGAATGCAAGCCAAACAGACAGCACTCTCCACTAGCTAAATAATGAAACTGCAACTTCTAAGGGGAAGACGGACATTGAGTGATTATTGTTTTAGCCTTTCACTTCAGTTCTGAGAGGACATTGAGTTTGAGTTAGAGCTTGAACTCCAACTCAAGGATGTTTGGGTGTAATAGCAAAACAGGAGGTTTGTGCTGTCAGAACGCCTTTTGTTGTCAACAAAGAATGGTTAAGTACACAGTTAATGAAAATTAATGACAAAAGTCTAGTTTAGGTTAGATTTGCAAGACTGTAGATACATTCACAAACATAGACCAAGGTTTGACAACGAGATGAGACAGAATTGTGAATGTAATTGTGGGACTAGATTTGGGCAATCTTTTGGGCTTCCTTTGCTGCATATATTCAGATCTACACACTCCGATCCGGCATGTTGTATCCCGGACTGGCAAACTGTCAGAGCAGAGCACGTTTGGTAGATTTACACAACTGTCCTGCAATACAGTTTTAGGTAATTAAATTAATTAAAATGCTGTTTACACAGTATAGCATCAGTGATAACAATCTGATAATATAACACTGAGAGAGCCCTTCTGCTGCCTTTTGATATTTCAAGTGCATGTTACTTTTAATACTGTAATACTATTTCTTGTGTAAGAGTTTGAATGCAGGTATTATTGCATTGCTACTTTTACTTAACTAAATGATCTGAGTACTTCTTCCGCCACTGCTTAAAAAGATGTCGTGTCTCTACCTTCAAAGTTCTCTGGCAATCAAATAATAAATCCTTGTAAAACTAACCCAAGTGTATAATAATGGTTTGGCAATCACAAATGTTCCTTTGTTTAATTTATGCACCCCCAAAGAGTGGTAGATATAAAGAGATTAAGGCTTGCATTTTTGTTCTTTGTTAACAGTTTTTGTTCATAAGCTTCCATAGCTTGGTAAAGGCCAAAGTGAAGGATAAAAATAAACATGACGGCAGAATCTCAGACTCACTCTTATTTGCATTCTCCCTCTCTTCTTCTCCTCCCTGCAGCGCAGACGTTTACCTTGGTGAGCAGCGACACGTGAGTGACGCCGGCATCCACACTGGCGTCCCATAAAGCCCAAATGTAGCCAGCCTGCACAGAGCATGCTCCACGGCTTCCTGCGTTTACAACAGAACTACTTTGATACTACTGTTACATGCCCACAAGGAGACTGAGACAGAGGATGACAGCCCTGCTAACAGACTGAGAGAAAGGCAGATTGACTGGAACTTAAGATCCTGTTAGATCTCCCTGAGCAAAGCACTAATTCTGTGGAGTCATATCTGTCCCAAAATGTTTCTGCACAAAATTAAGATTGTGAAATGGTTTAGTCATTAAAAACGTAGATATGTCTGTTTTAGCTGAAATATACCTGCTGAATAGCAGAAATGTTCTTTGGAGTCTTGAGAGTTATAAACTATGTCTGCCTCTACAGTGGGGGAAATAAGTATTTGACCCCTTGCTGATTTTGCAGGTTTGCCCACTTACAAAGAATGCAACGATCTATAATTTTAATCATATGTACATTCTAACAGTGAAAGACAGAATCCCAAAGAAAATTCCAGAAAATCACATCATATGAATTTATTAAAATTGATAACCATCTGATGAGGAAAAACAAGTATTTGACCCCCTGGACAAACAGCATGTTAATATTTTGTAGAAAAGCCAATATTGGCCAGCACAGATGTCAAACGTTTTTTTATAGTTGGTGACAAGGTTTGTGCACATTTCGGTCATTTCGATGTTGGCCCACTCCTCCCTGCAGACAGCCTCCAAATCATTCAGGTTCCGAGGTTGTCGCCTGGCAACTCGAATTTTAAGCTCCCTCCAAAGATTTTCAATTGGATTCAGGTCTGGAGACTGGCTAGGCCACTCCAGAACCTTGATGTGCTTCTTCTTCAGACACTCTTTTGTTGCTTTGGCGGTGTGCTTAGGATCGTTGTCGTGCTGAAACACCCATCCTCGACCCATCTTCAGCTCTCTCACTGAGGGAAGGAGATGTTGGTCCAGAATTCCACGATACATGGCCCCGTCCATCCTCCCCTCAATACGATGGAGTTGTCCCGTCCCCTTGGCTGAAAAGCACCCCCAAAGCATGATGTTGCCACCACCATGCTTGACGGTGGGGATGGTGTTCTTTGGGTTGTACTCGGTGTTCTTTGCCCTCCAAACACGACGAGTTGCGTTGAGGCCAAAAAGTTCTATTTTGGTCTCATCTGACCACATCACCTTCTTCCTCTTCTGAGTCGTCCAGGTGGTGAATGGCGAACTTCATGCGGGCCTGTACATGTTTCTTCTTGAGCAGGGGGACCTTGCGTGCGCTGCAGGATTTCAATCCATGACGGCGTAGTGTGTTACCAACCGTTTCTTTTGTAACTGTGGTCCCAGCTGCCTTCAGTTGATTCATCAGTTCCCCCCTTGTGGTTTTGGGATGATTCCTCACCGTTCGCATGATCAGGGACACCCCACGAGGCGAGATCTTGTGTGGAGGCCCAGACCGAGGGAGGTTGGCGGTGGTGTGGTGCTTCTTCCATTTCCTGATAACTGCACCGACAGTTGATCTTTTCTCTCCAAGTTGCTTTCCGATTCTCTTGTAGCCCATCCCAGCCTTGTGCAGATCAACAATCTTGTCCCTGATGTCCGTAGAAAGCTCTTTGGTCTTGCCCATGGTGGTGATGTTGGATGCTGGTTGTTTGGGTGTTGACAGGTGTCTTTTATACAGGTAACGAGGTGAGGCAGGTGTATTTGATGTAGATAATTGGTTGGGATTGGGGCTGTGTCTTAAAGAAAGACTAACTGGCTTGTAGGAGCCAGAATACTTGCTGTTTGGTAGGGGGTCATATACTTGTTTTTCCTCATCAGATGGTTATCAATTTTTATAAATTCATATGATGTGATTTTCTGGAATTTTCTTTGGGATTCTGTCTTTCAATGTTAGAATGTACATATGATTAAAATTGTAGATTGTTGCATTCTTTGTAAGTGGGCAAACCTGCAAAATCAGCAAGGGGTCAAATACTTTTTTCCCCCACTGTATATATCAGTCAGTTTGACAAAAATGAGTCAGACTGCAAAAAACTAAAAAGGAGTTGAGAGGACAAGGAAGAAGTGACTAATGCAAGGGTCAGCTGATTTCTTAAACTACTTGAGCTATATGATTGTCAGCCGTACACGAAAATAGGTAAGGGTTAATAAGGAGTGTTTGCTGCACCACCTTTGTGTCTATCTTCTGTCTTTTCAGAAAGGCTGAACCAATGTTTTAGTTGTATTATTACTGTTTATCCAGTCGAGTTTAAATCTTTATCAATGGTAGGTTTCCTGAACACCAATGCTATTTGGTAGGAACAGCATGTTCCACATTGACAGCAACACAAATGAACACCTGGTGGCTGCCCATTACAGCGACGGACTGATCTGCTGGCTACAGCAGCAGTTAGGATGCTCTATCTGTGTCTATACAGACACAATTGGCAGCACTCAGAGCCCAACACACAGTCATACTTGAAGTATAAAAATATGCTTCAGGTCACAGCTACACATTTGTAGTGTGAGTAAAACTGCTGCTGTTCAGCTAGATTGTTTAAAATAGGAGTATGTCTCTTCCAACAGATGTGCAGACGACTGAAAAATGCTGAAACACCTCCTGTGTAGACAAACCTTTTTAAGCCCTGCAACCCAGGTCCAAACTTAAATTCCGCTGCTAAGAGGATATGTTTGTGTACATTCATCTCTCACTAATAGAACACTGTACACCAGGACCTTGCCACATACAGTTAAGTCCTGAAATATTTGGACAGTGACACAATCTTCCGCATTTTGGCTCTGTACAACACCACAATGGACTGAAATGAACAATCGAGATGCAACTGAAGTGCAGACTTTCAGCTTGAATTCAAGGGGTTGAACAAAACTATGATATTAATCTATTTACAGGGGCTCAAATGTAATTGGACAAATGAACATAATCAGAAATAGAAGAATAGGTGGTGCAGTGGTTTGCGGTGGTCTTCACAACAAGAGGGGTCTGGCTTCAAACCTGTTGGCCACCTAGTTTCCTGTGGGTGTGAATGTGAGGGTGAATGGTGTTTGCCTCTGTGTCAGCCCTGTGAGTAACTTTTAACCTGTCCTGCCCCCTGTCACCCTGCAAAGGATAAGCAGTTATAGATAACGGATGGATAAAAATCTTTTTATACTTTGCCCAGAATCCTTTGCAGGTGGGGACTGCTTGAAGTATGGCACCCAATGACGTCACAAAATGCTGCATTTCCTCCTTTGTGATGCTTTGAGCAGACAGTATATCCCTGAACACTTCAGAATTCATCTGGCTGCTTCTGTCTTCTGTTGCATTTATTTTATAAGTCTTGTCTGGTTCTATTCTTGAGGTTCATCCATGGTTTCCACCATGTGGCGAACCCTCTGTACTTTCTCTTGTGAAGTCTTTATGACATACTTGGATGATGATATGCCTACCTCCTAAAGTGTTCTTCACTTGGCTGGCTGGCTTTTCCTTTAGCATGGAAAGGATCCTACGACCATCCACCACTGTTGTCTTTGGTGTATATCCAGGCCAATCTCACCAGTGCATTCTTAAAGTACTGAATTGGTCAATCTTTAAGTTTCTGCAGCCTAAGAGTGGCCTGTTTCACTTGGATTGAGAGCTCCTTTGACTGCATGTTGTGTCAACTGTCCAATTACTTTTGGTCCCTTGAAAAAGAAGGGGCTGCACTGCACATGTTCATTATATAACTGTAACTTGAATGTGTTTTGGTGAACAGCTAAAATAACAAAACTTGTGTCAGTGTCTAAATATATACTGAACAAAATTATAAAGGCAACACCTTTGTTTTTTCCCCCATTCAAAACTGCACATTTTGGAGTGGCCTTTTATTGTGGCTAGCCTAAGGCACACCTGTGCAATACCCATGCTGACTGATCAGCATCTTGATATGCCACACCTGTGAGGTGGATGGATTATCTCGGCAAAGGAGAAGTGCTCACTGACACAGATTTTGACAGATTTGTGAACACTATTTGAGAGAAATTGGCCTTTTGTGTACATAGAGAAAGTCTTAGATCTTTGAGTTCAGCTCATGATGAATGGGGGCAAAAACAAAAGTGTTGCCTTTATAATTTTGTTCGGTGTATATCGTCGTCTGACAGATGTCTAAATGCAAAAGTGTTTAAAACCTGTTCATTCCAAAAAAGGTATGACCTGGCTCTTTCCCACTGCCTCCCCAATCTCGCTTCAAGAATTCTGTCTTTTGCTTGGATTTGCAGTTTTGATAGATTTATAGAGTTGCACTCTAGAGTTGTACACAAAAAGTGACCAAAGTGAATGTGTGAAGAATGAAAAAGGAAACCCTGCCCACCAGTCCACTGTCACAAAGGGCATTTAAGACACTAATTCATTTCCCATCAGCGTTGCAATATAAACTCAAATCAATACATTGTTAAAATGTTAGTTTTGCCATTTATCCAGTCATGGTAAATAACATGTAACAAAAAGGTAATTCAGCCTGCTTCTGTTGGCTGCCAGTCTCCCCCATCCTTTGGTCAGCTAGCCCGCTGGCTAATATTACCACAATTTTCTTCTTCCCTTTCTTTGTTTTTGTTGTTGCTGTAGTTAATTGGCCATACTAGAAATATAAATGTATAGAATTAAACCATTTCACAATCTTGACTTGTAAGTACGACTTGTTTTAGGGGTAATATCGCTCCATAGATATGTGTCGCCTACATACATCAATATACACAACTTTTGATAGCTTACTAAGTATAAAGACATCTTAACATAATTGCTAGAATATTCTACTGATCTGGAGGAGGGGATATTCGCTGTTACTGAGCTGCTGGAGGTGAGTGTGCAACTGTATATAGGAGCACTTGAGAAGCCTCAGCGCAGATGGGCTAAGCACCAAAACTGGACACACATGCAGTGCTTTACTCTAACCCCAAAGTGACCGCCGATGCTCTTGGATTTTAATCTGCTCTGATTTTTATCGTTATGTTTATTTGAGACCAGAGGCTCCCTTATCGCTCTATTTTCACATCTTTTGCACCTGCAACATAACAGATTGTCCTTCATTGGATATACATATATAAATATATACAAAGTATACATATGAACATTAGGCAGATTTTTACTTCAACAGGGTGCCACTTCATGCTGCTGTTTTTTCTCTTTTTTGGACAGAACTAAGTGTTTTGCAGAACAGTGTGAATTTCCTGAAGTCTGAGGACCACAAACACAGTGTGTGGATTTCCAGTCTGCTTTATCAGTTGTTTCTCTTTTTGTTTTTCTGTCTTTGGTTTACATTACTTAGAAGATATACAGTAAAGCGGTTAAGGACATGGCACAGATTAAACATTTTGCTTTTGAATCTGTCCTAGGTGGTGAAGAATCAGAGAACAGCACATATAAGAAGCAATAAGTAGGACTATGGAGCTTCAGGACATAAAAGACAATTAAAAGATATGTATAAACTGTAAAAAAATAAAAATAAAACAAGATAGCATAATTTATGTACACACTGAAAAGAAGAGTGAATACTATAACTATAAGAGGTTATTATTATTATTAGGATCAATATGCAAAAAGTTCATACCCCATCTGTTTTATATATCATGTGAAATAAATGTTGATGTTCTTAAAACATGCTTTCTGCTTTTTTTTTTGTTGCATGTCAAATGATCTTTAACACGAGCTGTGAGCAGTTTTGCAGTGATTTCTTTCTCAAATGCCTAGTGTAGAAGGTTTTTTAATCCCTGGAGAGGTAAAAGTATTTTACAGTATATTTATAGGTACAGTATGATACAAGAGAAAAGAGAAAGAAAGAAGAGAGAGTTTTATATAACATTTTTTTCCTTTCTTTTATACCCATTATCTATTTCCGGACCAACTTCAATTTATTTAGGGATCTCTTGAAAGGCATGACCCCCAAATTTAGAACCAATGGACCACACATACACTAAGTCAGCACTTACTGAGGGTTAAAAGAATATGAAAAGGTCCCGTTTTCAAAAAATTATATATCCAAACACAGGATCCTGTAAAATAGGTCAAAGTGCCACCACTGCACCCACAGCCTGCACTTTCCTCTGATCTGGTTATAACACCGATCAAAAAACAAACACAATTAACAAAAAACTGTATGATGATGATGAAAAATTTTAAGTGATGGAACATGATTGAAATGATTAATCGATAAACAAAATAGCAGATTCATTTCCTGTTGACCACTAACCAATTAACTGACAAATGAATTCAGCTGTAGTTCTGGGAAAAGCTGAAAGTGGACCTTGAGTTGGGATTGTTTTGTGAACAATAAACATCATTTTTATGCCAACATGTAGTGCTGTGGATGAAACTTACAGTTGACAGATCCATCTGCATGACAACTGAGCAAACTCCATCTGCTAATAACGACAAAGTGGTGGTTGAAAGCTCCTAAAAAAGCTAGTAGCCTATGTAGATCTGGAGATTGAAATCTTATTAATAACTGATCTAATAATAACTGATGAATTGTGGTATGTGTGCCTGTAATTATTCATTATCAATCAATTAATTACCTGAAATATCATAATTAGGAAGGGAGCTGTTTCTTCATCTCACAAAGGCAGAACAGAAGCAGGCCTTCATCTCAATGCAACAAGTCACCCAAAGACCAGCAGGGTCAGAGGATCCACAGGCTGAGCGGAGAGCAAAACCACATGAAGGCTCCAGCCACTGAAAGGAGAGCTGGTGCCTGCAGAAAGATGCACCTGGCTGAGATAAGAACGTGCCTTTTCAGCACTTTCTGAGTTGGATCATTTTTCTGTTTGTCTGAACACGTGGAGCTGAGAGGCCACAATGCCGAAGATCGCAAATGTTTGGGAAGATGACTCACTCGTTTTGTAAGAAAAGTTCAGTTTTATCCTGCTAGTGGTGCAATATTTTACCCACCTTCTTATAATTGTATCTTTCATATATTTCTATTTATCATAGAGATATTTCATCAAGGCCAAATGCATACAATCTTTCCACACAGAGTTCCTGCAGATGCTGAGAAAAACACCAAATAATCTGTGCAGAGCTCAGCCAATACCCCCTCTTACTACAAAAAAGATCAATTAAATTTTATAGTCACTTAAAATCAGTTAACCCCCAGACATCCCATCACAAAGCCCTAACATACCAGGAGCTGAAACCAGAGAAGAGTCCCCTCAGCCATCTGGTCCTGAGGCTCTCTGCAGTAACAAGTCCCCAACAGCCTCAGGACTCAAGCAGACCAAACCACATTATCAACAAGCAGAAAGAAAAATGACAATGTTATCTGACCCTAAAAAGAGAATTCACACCGGCAAATGACCTGAGCACAATAGAATGTCCTAAACTACACCCAGACTGAGTGAACACAGCCTGGCCATAGAAAAGGGTCGCCACAGACAGAGCTGCTCCCAGTGTGACAGAGGACAGATAGAGGCTCACAGGACAGAGCTGCACTTTCTAACCTCATGCCCTAAACATAAAACCTTAAGAGAAAAACACTTTGCAAACACATGTTTGCAAAGTGTTTTTAATCCAAATTCAGATTCCTATCAAACACACAGAAACTCCCCTATATACTGGGAGAAATTCCAGAATGCCAAATCATTGCAGCAAAATATATCTCCTCATGCCACGAACTGAGGAGAACCAGTGGGAACTCAGACTAGACTGATAAATAAAGTTAATCATTCAACTCTAATATTATCACATTATTATTATTATTGTTTGTTATTCTAGTAATTGTTCCTAGGAAAAAGGTCATTGCTTGTTACCTATTTTCAATGTAAGATATATTTTGTTTTTAGTTTGTTTTATTTATTATTATTGTTTATTTTATTTTTTCTCCCTTTCTTTTTTTAAATGTAATTTTATTGTTTTTTATATATCCGCATACAAATTATTATGTATGTAAATTTTTGCTTTGGCAACATTGTTTACCTAAAGATTAATAAAATAAAGGTAATTGAAATGAAATGAGTACTGAAAATGGAAGAAAAACAAATGTACTATAGCGTAATTTAATGAAAGGGACACTATCTAGCCTTGCTAAATCAGATTACTTTAAAATTTAGCTTAATTAGCTAAATGTGTAGATATTAATTAGCAAATATTTATTTACTTTGTGTAAACATATGAACAAATGACACTGTGGCGTCAGACTATCTTCTGCTGGTCAGTCTCAAAAACATAATAATCAGTAATGAAAAGTAAAGTACAAGGAACAATTCGGCAGACACTGCTGTTTCCAAACGCACTTACTCAACATTAATATCAAAGTTATTTCCGGGTGCATTTTTAAGGACTGAGTGAGATATCTTTACAAGAGACAAGCTTTGGCATACGGAGTCCCTACGTCATCCAAACCCCCTGCTGCGCTTTAGGCTTGAAGTGCAGAGTGAGTGGAGGAAGACGGGCAGCCTGGAGGCAACTTTTCAACTGGAACGGCAGAAAAAGAGCTCTCCGTGCTGTTCGACATGCCTCAAATAACGAGCGAAGGGGCCGACCAAGATTCTCTGCCGACATCGGATCAAAACGGCACCGGTGAAACAGCAGAAACCGGCAAGGAGGTACAGGCCGTGCCGGACCCCAAACAGGAACCGGGCGACAACAACGAGAACAGAGCAGGAATGGACGCGAACAGTGGTCGTGGTACGGCGGTGGAGCGCGGAGACAACCCGTCTCCCGGTCCCGACGCCGACATAGAAACAGCGTTGCCGACCGAAAAAATAGACAACGATAAGGGGGAACCCGGCCGCAAACTCTCTGAACCGGAGAAAAGTCCCGTTCAGGGGAGTCTGGCGAGTAGCATTGATTCCGCGCAAGAGGGCTCCCGGGTGCTGAAACAAGAACAAAGAGAGGGGGAGAACGTGTCCTCCTCACTGCACAAAGACCGCACAAAGACCGCGGTGAAAGCCGAGCACGGCACCAAGAGACGGGCCAGCGTGGAAGTGACCTCGTCGGACGGAGAGCCGCTCAGCCGGATGGATTCAGAAGACAGGTCTGTAGAAGTAACGTTAGTACGCTGTGTGAGGAGGCCGTGTGCGGAACGTTAGTACAAGCAGGAGGTGGTGTGAGGTCACGTCACGATGCAGGTTCCCTGGTTAACAGTTCGCTACCAACCGTTTGCATACAGGTGAAATGATTTCGCCTGCGGGAAACCCAGCAGAATCGGGTTCAGTTCTGGTGAGGTGGAACGTTCGCTGACTGTTCAAGCGAACATTCGGGAAAGTTTGTAATGTTCGTTTCTGGTGAAAATAAAACACATGGGCAAAGTTACCGGAACGTTCCTCTGTAGGTTCGGGAAACGTTCTACTAAGCTAACAAGAACCGGCCCAGAGGCTCGGTATCAGCAGTGATGTGAGTTATGGAGCTCGAACCTCAGCAGCACATGGCTGTCGCTCTCCTTCAGTCACCGCGGTGTATCGCGGTGTGTAACGTTAGTTGGAAGGATAAGTGACTCGACTCGAGTGGACTGTGTCCTGGCTGCTGGATAATTATTGATCAGGTTTAAATGAACTCAGCAGTTATCTGTGTCTAGCACATCTGGTGACCAGCAACAGGTTCTTGATCTACAGATGGAAACTTCAGGATTACTGACCAATTTCAGAGATGATCTCCTCCAGAAACTGCCCGCCCCCAGCAAAACCATTAACGTTAGACGGAGAGCTGTTCAGAGTGTTCAGTGTTCAGTCTTCCAGCCTTGCTCATCGTGTTCTGACAGACTCCAGATTTACGTTAAGTGTACTTTACTGACACACATTTAGGTGCTGGTGTAAAACAGCATAGTGTGACTGATTTGTTTGTGAGGACAAAGAAGACGATGAAATGTATGGTAGATTCTCAAATAGTGGCAGAGGCCTTTACTTCTCAAAGGCAGCAGGCCTTTATTCTGAAGCAGGCTTAGAGACGCCCCCTGCTTGATGATATATTTCATTATGTTTTAATATGTTGGTTGCTGCATAATGCTGTTAATGCCAGCAGTGCAGTATTTTTTAATATATTTTAATTCCAGAATAAGTGATTAAAAATAAAAATTCCTGTAATTTTTCCCATTTGGGTCTACACTCATACATGGCCTATGTGGAATCTGATAGATGTAAATCTGAAATTGTGAGGGAGAACTTTTAGTCCAGTCAACTTCAAATGTTGCTGCTGTCGTGTTGTGGCATGTCAAAAAGCAGAAGCGTCCCTCATCTGTGGTACAGGATGACATTTTAAGGTTTGCCCAAAACTGAAAACCCATTTAAAATATGACTATAACAATGTGAAATCATTTTTCTTTGATTATATTTGTTCAGGGGTGTAATAAATTACAAATGTCTCTTAATTTAGAAATTGTTATTGATGTAGTTTTGGTGACCTCACTCCACCAGCACATTAAAGGCCTGCACATTCAAACACATTGATTTCAAGTTTCAATGTGGCTCATAAGGACTTGTTGGATTCTCTCTCGCTCACTTTAATAGGCAAGTCAAATAAAGTGAGTTATTGGCATTACTACACCTCCTGTGATAAAGGGACTCTGACACCTCTGTGTGTCATGGCAGTATTAGGCCTTCAGCATCATGACCATATATGCAAACAGTGGTGACACTAGTAGACTTTGGTGTAAGGTGACTGCTATGAAAGCACTTAATATGTATGCATTTCATCCAGTTAGAACACCAACAAGTTGTAATAATAACGTAATACTGTAAGAAGATGCGTTAGAGGGAAGTAAGAATGCGAGTACTTTAAAGTTATCAAATGATGCCGAAACCACTTTAACTGTTGTAACTTGGATACCAATTAATGATGTAATGTACCTGTTTGCTAATCTCCAACATTTTAGTTTACCTAAAATAACCTATGCCAGCGTAGTTATTGTTCCTGAACCCAGGACATGGCATCAGCTGTCCTGTCGAGGATATCGGACACTTATTGTAAATGGGGCATTTCAGAGACAATTTTTATTCAGACATGAAGGTTATAAATTCTTGAAAGTGAGCTTCACTGTTTACACACCAAGTCAGTTAACTTCCTTCCTGTTGAACGGCACATAATGCCTCGATGGCCACATCAGCTCCGTCTGATGAAAACCATGCAGCATCTTCAAAGTCTCAAGGCTTTTCTGAGATGGATCCGGTCAACCTGCTAGGAGGCGTACGTGAAAGTATAAAACATGTCCTTTTGCCAGTAGGTGGCGCTATGACTTTGACATAATGTTCCCTTCTTGTAAGGGCTTCACTGTGCTGAATTATGATGATAGATGAGCCGTACTGTCCACTTTGTCATCAGACAGCCACACATTAGTTTAGGCTTTAAAGGAGCCTTTGAACCCGTTGTTACTGTCAAGTGGCTCACAGAGACAAAGTAGAAAATATAATCCGCTGCCTGCTTGAATGCCCACTTGGCTGCTTGTCCACTTTTTGTCATTGTGCTGTTGTGGCAGCTGTAAAACTTCACTGTAAGCTTTTTTTCCCACACAGAGCAGAGTGGCAGCTGGGAGAGAGAGAGTGTGTGTGTGTGTGTGTGTGTGTGTGTGTGTGTTTCACAGGTGATGGTACTCCTGTTGAACTTGTAGAAAAGGCCCCACAGAGCAAGTATGGCCAGTGATCAGAGCAGATGGTCTGCTGGCTACACACACTGTGCAAGCTGTGAAATCTGTGATCACATAAAGAACAGAGTTTACAGGTTTAGACAGAGGACCAGACAGTCATTTCACTAAACTTTGAAAATCTGCTCTTGAGAGTTGAGCAGTAATGAGTTTGTGATTTGTAGATCCTGAGCTAACACAAGCCCTGTGCTTTAACACATACCTTAAACTGCTATCTTTAGATTGCTTAGATTAGAGCTGGATTTATAGTTCACTCAGAAGGTGAATGGGGGTTCTATGTAGGTTTTGAATTACAGGTCAGTGTCTGATTTCACCTTTTGAAAGCATACGTGATCCTTGAATTATATTCCCCACAGGAACTGTTTTTATGTTTTGTTTTTTACGTGAGAGGAAGGCCTGGTGGGCTACAGCACGTGCAGATCTGCAGCTACAATCAGGAAACTCTTTCTTCTTGTCTCATTAGCTGCCATGCTATCACCACGTTTGCTTTGTTTCATTCACCGTGGTGGAGGGGTGGGGGGGTCGTGTTGAGCACAAGGTCTGCAGTGGAGACGACGTTAGAAACCTGAAACGCAGGCGGTCAATGCTGTCCAATCAGAACGTCCACCATATCTGGACCATAACACACTACCGTAAATAAAGTTTAACAAACTCAGTTCACAGAAAAATAATCTACTATTTGGATAATTGATTCGTTTCACTCATTGATCAATCAAACGAAGGCTGGAATCTCTCAGATGTGAGATTGTGCTGCTTCTTTGTCATATTTCATCAGTTTGTCAGACAAAACGAGACATCTGAAGGAGTCACCTTGGGCGCTCTGGGAAGTTGGGGTTGGTATTTGTCTCGATTATTTGAATTTCGTAGATCAAACAATCGAAAAATCATCAGATTCATCAATAATGTAGTTGCAGCTCAATTCATCACTATATCTCGACCAGTGCTGTAAGTTTGAGGACTACACCAATAATGCTGATGATAAATCATTTTGAAAAACAGATATAGCAGCCAGTATAAATGTATGTCAGTGCTCTCTGGTGGATACTTTCTATTCTCAGTAACCTCACACGTCTTCCACTTTTCTTCACTGTAGTTTGTTTTACTGATGCCTCTGCAGTAAGTTAATAGTGGACGATATTTGGGCCTGGCAAACATTTCTGATCATAAAGAACCCAGACACTATTACCAGACTAGTCTGAAATCCAATGTTCCATCACAACTAGGGATGCAACGATTACAGATTTTGTTGGTAGGATTATTGTCAGTTTCACGATTATTACAATTATTATGCATTAATTAATTTCACAACACTAGTAATGTCATTAAATGTTAAAAATGTTGATTTTTAACATTTAATGACATTAACAATTATATTTCTATAATATGTAAGTATTATTAATGTAAGAGGAAGATTGCAGTGTTAACTGAAATTCAGTTAATTGGTAGTGGTGGTAATTGATAGTCCTGAAAGTGTACAAGCTCCTGATGTATGTTAGTGTTTTACATCTGGCAACCTTTTCTCACCACAGACAGGAGGAGGCAACAGGATGTAACATTAAATGTTCAGTGACTGAAGGTCTTGAGAGGACTACGTTCTGTCTTCCATAAAGACCCTTTCAGAAAAGAAGCAATTTGCACTGCGTGGAAGCTGCTCAGCACTGAAGTTCTACTGCTTTGACCGCGGCATGCGGGCGAGCTCGCTGTGCGGTGCACGTTGCTTGACGCAGCAACAAACCAAGCCATTGAAAATAATGGGCCTCATAGCGCAGCGGGGCTGTCGTTGCGGTATGTCTGATAGTTTACACCGGCTTTGTTTGTTTACGTTGCACTGAAAGCTCGACTCTCACCGCTACGGCATCGATTGTAAGTGACACGTTTATATATAATTCCGTACCAACTTGTTACCTTATTCAATATAAACCTTTACTTGGACGTGCAAAGCTGGGTGGTTATCCCGCAGGTGCTGCATCAAGTTTAATGTAGTTATTCGCTCCTTTAGCAGGAGTCTTTTAACGGCAAGTTTTTCAACAGGTGATCCGTCATCTTCAGTAACGCCCTGGTCAGTCTTAGTGTAGCCTACCCGAAATGCTCCCACACTGCCGACTTCAGCCGTCTCTGGTGGAAATAAAGCTTCATAGTTTAGCCAGCCTCTGATAAGTACGACACTTACGCTGGTGCACCGCTACTGTAACTTTGATTTTGTTTTATGCAAGTTGCCACAGTTTTGTTCCATGCAACAGAAACACTTGGAGTAGCGGAGCCTTTACGATTAATTAACCGTGACATTTTAAAGCACGGTTTATAGTGCAATCCGGTAATCGCTGCATCCCTAACACAGGTGAGGTCGTCGTCTTCTGTTTGAATCACCTTTGTTGCGCGCCAATGTTTCTCTGGTGTGTGTAGAATTCCAGGTGATGTGTTTTGTATCAGACAATTCTGCTGCAGGATAGTTAAGACTAAGTCAAATATTTCATCTGATTGATGCCTCTGTGTTTTGTTAAACTATCCAGCAAGACAACATGGAAGACTCAGTGAACTTACAAACATGTCCCTTTGTCCCATAACCTACAAACCCTCCAACTGCTTTTTGTGAAGTAGAAAACAGGAACAGCATTTTAATAAGAGACATCCTGAAAAACAGCCCCAGGCCCACCCTGCTCAACCAAAACCTTCATCTGATCTGTTCTTCCTGCTGTCTGAGACAGTGGATCCTGCTTACACTGAATGTCCTTTCATGTAGGTTCATTTTCTAATGGCTTTCTGTTGTGCCTGTGTGTTCTCCAGTATTGGCAGCACCCTGATGGACATGGAGAGCACGGCGTCCAGCGGTCGCTCCACCCCGGCCATGCTCAACGGTCACGGTGGCGGTGTGGCGGCGGGGAGCGGCTCGGCGCCAGCAGGGGGCAAGTCTCTGAGCTACACGTGCTGCTGGGATCACTGCCAGCTCCTGTTTCTCAGCAGCCCCGACCTGGCTGAACACATCAGAGCCACACATGTGGACGGACAGAGAGGAGGGGTCAGTGTCTCACGGTCAGGTTACTGTGTGAATGTGTGTGTCGCTTTCAAGTTTGTGTTCATGTAGTTGGTTTTATTTAGGAGAGTAAAGGCTTCCACGCTAAGCCAGCTCATTTTTAAAGCAGTATTCACATGGAAAAAGTCCACACCAGGCTGATATGAGTATGGGCTTGTCTTCAGTCCCCTCCTGCTCTCTGTCATCACTGCCACTGAATTCACTGTACCGTCCTTTACATCTTTTCTCTTTCTGTACTGAGACAGATCTTTTCTCATTCCGTCCTGCCTCCAGCCCGTGACTCTGACAGTGTCTTCCTGGTTTGCTAGAAAGCATTGCACTTTGTGGATTTCCATAATTTGTAGCTGTAGTTGCAGCATTAGCTGGCATGTGCCACTGTGTTGTAATCAGCACAGGACAGTTAAAAACAACTTGATCGCAATAACATTTAATATACAGAACTCCCAGATGATGCATTTCTATGGGTGTGGAGACAGAACAGAGACTTTTCATGTGAAAGCAGATAAAGGCTTGTGACCTTTTTTCGGGGTAGAAAAACGGCGCCATCAAGTCGGACACATACCTGCGGGAGCACGGCATTTTAAAAAATCTACTTTTTGCAGCCGGAGAAAAGCAACTGGCCGCCGGACTCTGCGACTGCAGCCGCCTAGCTCCCGCGAGGTTTTAATGTCATGTGACATGGTGATGTTTTGCAGTCACTTAGTTATCAGTGTGTGCTTGATTGTGTGATCCACACAGGTGTTTGTGTGTCTGTGGAAGGGCTGCAAGGTGTACAACACACCGTCCACCAGTCAGAGCTGGCTACAGAGACACATGCTGACCCACAGCGGTGACAAGCCATTCAAGGTAACCACACACACATGCACTCATTTCATCCAATGAATCTCCAGTTCACTATATTCCCATCAGTCAGTCATGACTTCTCCCCTCTGTCTGAGTACCTGCAGTCACTCTGCATCATCCAGCTTCACTGACACTGTAAATCATCATCGTATTCCTGCAGTGTGTGGTGGGAGGCTGCAACGCCACGTTCGCCTCTCAGGGGGGGCTGGCCCGCCACGTGCCCACTCACTTCAGCTCACAGAGTTCATCCAAAATGTCCAATCAGGGCAAAGTGAAGGAGGAGTCTCCGTCTAAGGCCGGCCTCAACAAGAGAAGGAAACTGAAGAACAAACACAGACGCTCCCTCCGTATGTTCACTGATTACTTTACCTCATAAGACTGTATGCTCTTACTTTTAAAACATGGAAATGACATAAGCAGGCTGTCGCATGATATTTCAAATGGGCGAGTGATACAAATTGACTTTCATTCAGACTGGTGTAAAGTTTCCAAACTCTGTGTGTAAAATACACAAATATATATATATATATATATATATATCTCATATTTAAAATATCTTTGTGAGTCTACAAAGGCTCACAAAGATATTTTAAACTATTGTTAAAACATACACACAAATAATATTGAGACAAATAGATCTCCATGCTCAGGAGATAGAGCAGTCGTCCACTGATCCTGTGTGTGTGTGTGTGACGTGTAGCGTAGCACTTTGATTACAGTCCATTTCTCATTTACAGTGAAAGACAAAGTGGTCCCTCAGTTGCATACACATTTAATAACTTTTGATTTCCAGCCCGACCTCATGACTTCTTTGATGCTCAGACCATGGACGCAATCCGCCATCGAGCCATCTGCCTCAACCTGGCAACACATATCGAGAGCCTGGGAAACGGACACAGTGTTGTCTTCCACAGCACGGTGGGCACACACACACACCCACACACACACTTTAGCCAGCGCAGGAAGTGACATGTCGTTCTGTGCAGCAGATTATCTTCTTTGATGCCTGAGTGTTTATGTGTGTTCAGGTAATAGCCAGGAGGAAAGAGGACTCTGGGAAAGTGAAGGTTTTGTTGCACTGGACACCTGAAGACATGTAAGTCCTGCTCTTGTCTCTTCCTCTCATCAGACCCCTCACCCTCTTTTGGCAGTAAAACAAAATAACAGTTCAGATGGGACTGGGTTCAGTTATTAGTTAATAAGTCAGTTCCAAATGAACATGTAAATGCGAGGTAAAAACAGTTGTGAATTATATTATTGGCAGTCAGTACTGTGTTGGATTAGAATCAGATACTGACCAATAATATAATTCACAACTGTTTTTACCTCAATTCTAATTTGATCACACCCGCAGCTAGGGCTGCACGATTAATCTTATCGCAACTGCGATGTTGTCATGTGCGATTACATAAACGCAGAAAGGGTGCGATTTAATGAAACAGAAAAGGTGTCATTATCCAGTCCACACCGTTAGCTGTATCAGAGCCTTTTGTCGTTTAACATGTTCAACTTTTCATAAAACCCATATGTGCTTGTCAGTCAATTTTCGCCAACCAACCAATCACAGCCTGGATGGGGCGGGACATTAAAAAGTCTGACATGCTACAGCAAACTTTCAACTGTTGAACAATGATTATTGGCAAGTTAGATTAGATGATACAAATTACAGAACCATGTAGCCTTTTTTTTGCACAAGCATTTAATGAATAAAAACAAGCAACAGAAATGAAACGGCTGTAACTGGATGTAATATTCAACTAGTGGGAAAATGGTAAACTATTATTTAAAATTGTAATGAATATATTAACAGAATACTATCAACTATTATAGTCTTTATTTAATATCATACTAATACACTCTAGCTCCTCCTCCAGGTTGTAGATGGAGCCTCTGCAGATTTAGCCAGTGTCAGGATGGCAGTGTGCCAATATGTGCTCCTGCTAGCTGCCTCCTCCTGAGAGCAACACGCTCCCTTTGTTCTGTTTATGTCTGTTGTTAGTTATTGTTATAAATATTGTTTATTGTGTTTTACATGCTGCTGACCACCGAAACACAGTATCAAGCATATTATCATATAAGTTCAAGTTACTAAAGTCAATCTCCTGACGCTGGATAGTTTTTTAGTGGCTGCACAACAAACAGCAACGTGCAAATAGATAAATAAATAGCCTTTGATGTATGTTGCTTTGCAACCGTCATGCACTATGTAGTCTACCAGCAGCCTGGTGGGACTACTTTTTGTATTCATAAAGAAATGTCTGTTGACCAAATAAAGTCAAATTGTAGTGGGTCTGTTAACCTACTTTCTTTTTGCCATACTTGGTAACCGTTATAAAAGAAATGGCTCACTTGGCTTCGCATCGGGCTGAACAACGCCCCTTAACTGTGTACTATAATAAGCGTATACCACGGCCTGTCGGGAGCTGTTGCTTAAAAATTCTGCATGAGTTGAGGGTTTTTCCCTGATCAAAAGCAGCTAACAGCACAGTATCCTACACTGTGCACTCTGGAAGTCTCACTGTAATCCTCTTGTAATATTGCTGCACAAGACTCTCCTTTAGTTCCTACCTCTTTCATAACATGTGGATCTTTATTGCCAAGTAGTGTTTTACACATAAGAGGAATGTTCTGTGGTGATAAGGTGCTACACGTAGACAAACATACAGTCAACATAAATAAATGCAGAAATATATAAATATGGAATGCAACGGAAGAGAATATTGTGTACATATAAATATATAAACTGACAACATAAAAATATACAACAACAAAGATCAACAACAAATATGTGCGACGTGCCAGGTCTGTGTACGACACAGATGAAACAGTATTTACATGTGCAGAGACATTTGTATCATTTGCAAGGGGGGGTGTCAGTGGGGGACCCGGGCCTTGTTAATGAAGCTAGTTGCAGACGGGAAGAAACTGTTTTTGTGGCGAGAGGTTTTGGTCCTGATGGACCGCAGCCTCCTGCCAGAGGGGAGAGTCTGAAACAGTTTGTGTCCGGGGTGGGAGGGGTCAGCTGCAATCTTTCCTGCTCGCCTCAAAGTCCTCAGGTTCAGAAGAGAAGGAAGATTGCAGCCAATCACCTTCCCTGCAGAGTGAATGATGCCACCAGATGGTGATGGAGGAGGTGAGGATGGACTCAATGATAGCGGTGTAGAAGTGCACCATCATAGTCTTTGGCAGGCTGAACTTATTCAGCTGCGGCAGGAAGTACATCCTGTGCTGGGCCTTTTTGGTGAGGGAGGTGATGTTCAGTTCCGACTTGAGGTCCTGGGAGAAAGTTTCTTCCCGATGGTACCCAGGAAGTGGAAGGAGTCCACAGTGGTGACTGGGGAGTCACACCATCTCCACTGTCTTCAGAGCGTTGAGCTCCAGACTGTTCTGGCTGCACCAGGTCACCAGATGGTCGATCTCCCACCTGTAGGCGGACTCATCCCCACCAGAGATGAGCCCAATGAGGGTGGTGTCATCCGCAAATTTCAGGAGCTTGACAGACTGGTGACTGGAGGTGCAGCTGTTGGTGTACAGGGAGAAGAGCAGAGGGGAAAGAACGCAGCCTTGAGGGAATCCAGTGCTGATGGTCCTGGAATCAGAGACATGTTTTCCCAGCTTCACGTGCTGCTTCCTGTCCGTCAGCAAGTCTGTGATCCACCTGCAGGTGGAGTCAGGCACGCTCAGCTGGGAGAGCTTGTCCTGCAGCAGGGCCGGGATGATGGTGTTGAAAGCAGAGCTGAAATCCACAAACAGGATCCTGGCGTAGGTTCCTGGGGAGTCCAGGTGCTGGAGGATGTAGTGAAGGGCCAGGGAAGAAGTGGTGGACTGAGGCTGAAGCTGAGCAGAGGAGTCACAGGGGATGGTGTCTGACTCTCAAAGCGGCGGTAGAACTCGTTCAGCTCATTTGCCAGGCAAGAATCGTTTATGGAGTGGAGGACTTTGGGTTTATAGTTTGTGATCTATCTGAACCCCCTCCAGACAGAAGTGGCGTTGTTTGCAGAGAACTGGTTCTTTATTCTCTCTGCGTACAGTCGTTTAGCTTCTCGCCCTGCAACTGGCCCTGTCACCACTCCTAAATGCCTCCTCCTTTTCCAACCTCAGCTTTCTGAGTTTGGCTGTGAACCAGGGTTTGTCATTGTTATAACTCACCCTGGTGCATGTTGGTATACATGTGTCCTCACAGAAGCTGATGTAGGACGTCACAGCCTCTGTAAACTCATCCAGATTGTTGGTAGCCTTCTTGAAAACATCAGTGCAGTCTAATAATGGTAATAATGCTTAGTCGACATTAAATGGTGTGTTAACAGTTACATTACGTCGATACTCTACACATTACCATGTCTCATTTGGCACATTTACACACATTTGTAAGCCTATGGGCTGTTCCATTCTCTAATGGGGGTGTTCGAAAGGCAGTCTGAGGCACACTGACTTTTGGCTTCTGCTGTTTCCAGCCGAACAGCCAGCGGAGCACACAAACTGAAGTATTAGGCTAAGCTATGGCTCATAGTGCCTGTAGTTAATCATCCCATTCAATATCAATCATTCCAAATCTGTTGCTTGTCAAGTATGCTTGCAATGTTACAGTCCTACCACCAGGCATCACTGTGCACGTGTGAATAAAGATAAGCAGCCAGGTATAATGCCTGATTTTCCACAGAATTCTGCTTTAGATGCTTTGGTGTGTACTTTCTACCATCATGGGGCTCACATGTGACAGATGAAGTAAACTGATCCACAGTGCAGATGTTCACTTCAATCCAGTAAGTGAACCTGTTTTCTTTACTGTGTGTCAGACTGCCAGATGTGTGGGTGAATGAGAGTGACAGGCTGCAGCAGAAGACCAAGGTGGTTCATCTGTCCAAGCTGCCCACAGACACGGCTGTACTCCTGGACCCCAACATCTACAGGTGTGTGTGTGTGTGTGTGTGTGCGCGCGCAGGTATTGTTGGATGTTTGTGAGAACATATGTGAACCTTTTTACTCCCACAGGATGTTCTTCTGAACTCCTCCAGAGACACTCCACCGTCACTTCCTGCTTATCCAATCCTGAGGAGGAGATTGTCTCCTTTCCCCCTCATCTCCTCACCTCTCCTCCTCCCCTCCCTCCCAGAGGATGCTGGATTTCTGACTTATTTGTCAGGACTGTCTGAGGCCTCAATTGTCTTCTCCATTAGGTGCTGAGTTTACTGAGATGTTGCTTGTTTTAGGTAACATAACTAGACTGAAACTGACAGAAGTGTAACTGTAGACAGACACATGTAGAGAGAAACTGTCTTTGTACATACTTGAGATTTGTAATATATTTTTATACTTTGAATTTTTTACTGTAGAAAGATGTTTTTCTGCTGAACATTTTAAATAGATGTTTTAAAAAACTGATAATATTGGTCATGTGCATATAGCTGGCATTGCTCTGGTTTGATCTCATTAAACTTTTCCAACCGCCACTCAGTCTGAAGTTTTTTTTTTTGACTACTGGACGTGCTGACGTGCGGCACTAAGTCATTTCCGTTTCCGGTGCTTGTGTCTTGGTAGCGTGTTTTGCTGCTCTCGCTAAATACCAGTTAAATTTGTTAGATTTGTCATTACAGCGGCCAACTGCAATAGTTTTGCCTAAGCACTCACAGTTCTTTCCATCTTTTAGTGACTGATTTAATCTAATAATTGTTTTCAAAAGTTAGTAGCTAACGCTACTTAACTTTAGCTTAGCAGCTAGCGATGGCTTCTCCTTCTCCCTCTCCTACTTTGTACTGCTCGGTGTGTCAGATGTTCAGTTACTCCTCTGCCTCCTTTAGCGGTAATGGTACGTGTAACAAGTGTAGTTTATTTGTAGACATGGAAGCGAGGCTGAGTAATTTAGAAGTCCGGCTCTGCACCTTGGTAGCTACTGTAGCTAGCCAGTCCACGGTAGCTGGTTCCCATAACCAGTAACTTTACTAGCTCAAGGGATTAACGTTATATAAAAACTTTAACCATAATACAAGCTGATACAGTCAGCGATCTCTAAAGTGATGAGATGTAATGTTTGAACTAATTTGAAAAGGCAACAAAGCAAGGTTTCTTATCTGAATTTACATTTGTGAATATGAAATTTGGCCATAATAATCACATTTTCCCAGAAATTTTTCACAATAGGGCAATGCCAAAACAAATGTACTACAGTTTCTGGATAGCCACCACAGAAACTACAATTTACTTCAATATCTTTCCTAAATCTGTATGTAATATAGCTTTTAGCTGGATAGAATTTATGTAATTTTTGTAGTTTAAAGGAAATTTCTTTGATTTTGTTGGTAATTAAGTATTGATTAGGTAGCAGCCATGCCTTCTTCGATACTATATCTACAAATTGATTCCAGTATGAAATCACTGATGGTTCTGTAGTAATCTCTTTGGAACAAAGCTCTTATAGATCTGTTATTGCAGGAATGACTGGAAAAACACATTTTACCTATGAAAGTGTCGGACGGAAATAACAAGGGCAATTGTGCAGTAACCCTTGTTTGAGATTTGAATAGCATACAGACTCCAGAGGGTATTGCAACCAAAAACTTTTGCGTAGTCCCCAGGTGTAACAGGTATAGTGTATTCTGAAAGAAACTCTTCATAATATTAACAGAAGACCATTCCGGTTAAATAACTGAAATACCAACACAATGTTATTAAACCAATATTCCATGAAGAGAGATTTATGTTTATAGGAAATGTCCTTGTTATTCTATATAAGATATTTGTGAGGTGAGAAGTTGTGCTTGTCCATGACCAGAAAGCCTGGCAGACATTTTAACAGGTACCTTATCAATATCATAGTTACAAACTAGCCACAACCTCATGCCACCCAGCTTTGATAATACATGAAGAGGTAAAACATTCCAAATGGAGGTAGGGTTTCTATATAATTGTTTGCCAATTTATGTTAAAGGTATTATTTAAGGCATAAAAATCCAGAAAGTTAAGCCCACTGTTTTCATAGTTCATGAGAACTGTTTTCTTCAAGTAATGTGTTTTATTCTTCCATATAAAACTGAATAGCATTTTGTCAATGTCTTATTAGTTTATCGCTAAGATGCAGAACCAAAGCAGCATATGATAATCGCGAGAGTGCCTCTGCTTTAGTAATTAATACTCTACCGCTTAACGAGATCTCTTAAAAAACATTGGTTAAATTTCTTTTGAGTTTTTTGTATGACGAGTAAAATTTAAGGTCATTCTCCTCTCTTGGTCCTTAGTAATAAATATACCTAAATAAAGTATTTCACTTTTTATTGGAATATTACAAAGAGCTGGACTCTTTTATAGCCATAAGTTCACACTTATGTACATTCAGAAGCCTTAGAAAACAGGAATAATGTGGTGTCATCTGCCAGCTGAGTTATAATTAATTCTCGCCCTATAAGAGTAATACCTTTCACAGCACTGGATTTAATATGGTTGGCCAACAATTGAGCTACTAAAAGGAAGAGGTACGAGGAAGTGGGGCAACCCTGTCTAATGCCTATCAATCCATATATACTAAACAGGAGTAACTTTATTGCAAAGTAGTATTTTACACATGCGAGGAATTTGCTTTGGTGATAAGGTGATAAATTTAAAAATATAAAATATGGAATAAACAAATGCAAGTTATATAAGAATAAAAGAAGTATGTGTAGAGAAAAAACACGAAGACTAAGTTAGCTTCCGATTCGGCAGTTAAGAGAACCTAAGTGAAAGTTAAATTACGTTGCTGAGCGACCGATTCTCCGTTTTTGCACCTCTTACTGCTGTGAAAGCTGTTGTGCATTTTAGGCAAAGCCTTAACGCTGTCTGAAACACTTTTTTAGATTTGAAAAAAAAAGTATTTTGTTTGCAAAGTAGTATTTTACACGTGCGAGGAATTTGCAGCTACTGCAGCGTCGTAGAAAAAACAGCCGTGGGAGTTTTTTCTACTGACTCCCATGGCTGCAGCTCGGGTCCATAGACTGTATATAACGCTACGAAAAAGTACTGTGGAGTCGGAGTTCCTACTCAGAGAAAAAATATGCTGCGTTCCACACCATGACGTCATATTTACCTACCGGAACTCGCAGCCGGGAGTCGTGTCCACGAAGAAGAATGGCCGGGCTGCTGAAAAAGGTACGACTAGAGGTCATGTTTTTGTTTTAGTGAGGGAAAGAAAGACTGTTAATAATGAAGTAGCTGCCAAGTCGATAATGTTTGCACTACATCATCTGACTGTGTACTTGTGTGGTGGGTGTCTAACGGCACAGTTTGTACGCGACGCTGCGGTGTGTTAGCTAACACTACAGCGAGTAAGTTAGCTGGGGTTCACACCACGGGTCACAGCTCTTAACGTTTGGCAGTAGGCAGTACTAAATATTATGCAACGATAACGTGTAAAATACTACTTTAATGCTTGTGTCCGGCTGGTAAATATGATGTCATGGACCCCACCTGCAGCGCCTCTGCTACACACCGTTTACCCAAAGACATGATGACAAGAGGTTTAAAATGGCTAAATGTTTGCAAAGATCACACAACATTGTCTCACTCTATACTGTCTATACTGGAGATACGTGACATTCAGTTTTAATTGTACCCATTTTTCTATCTATTTTTGAACATCTTCCTAATCCTTCCTAGTCCCGCCCATGTTTGACTGGGTCTACATTAAGGTGACACAGACTGACCCCGTGGACCTCAGGCTTTGGTCAAACGTTGATGGCTAATCATTGTTTTTGCAGCAGTGAATGTTATGAGGTACTTTAAAAAGAGGTGCTGATCAGGGTGCACTTTGAAGTTGATAAATGAAGAAGTAAGCATCTCTCTGATATTCTCTTCCAGACAACCGGCCTGGTCGGTCTGGCAGTGTCCCACAACCCACATGAGGTGAGCAGTAGACGATGAACAGCACACAGAAGTCCACTTATTAGTGGGAAACCTTGATCACATGTGGGAATACGTGCAGTTCATTAATCCAACAAAATAAGTTTATCATGGCTCATCAACATGTACTCCAACTGTCAGAGCTAAACAAGAGATCTGTACCTTCCACCAGCTAATCTGCTCTGGCCTTCTCTCAGCGTCTTAGGATTTTGTACTCAAAGATCTTGGCATCCGTGCAGACCATGCCACAGGACGCAGCCTACAGGAAGTACACAGAGCAGCTGGTCAACGAGAGGTTCAACCACGTCAAGACGGTAATGTCTGATGCACACTAGAGGATTTTCAGATCTCTAGTAATAATCAGCTTGGTTTATACTGTTTTTGTCTCATGATTAACAAAGCAATGAATGAAGAAGGGAGGGAACAGATGAAGGCTGGGTCAGGTCTGATTTATTAATTGTGTGTGGGTTTTATGTTCAAAGTGTCTATATGTCACTGCACTGTAAGCAGAGTAGCTCATCCCTGTCAGGATCCTGTAGGACTGTTGGCCTTTCCAATGATCTGATTGGTCTGTTGGCTTTGCAGAACATTAACAGTGCAGCATTAAAAATTAATATGATGAAAGTTTGTTTGTCTTCATAAGGAGCCTGATGTTGAGAAGCTGGAGAAGAAGATAAACTGTGGGCAGATTGAAGAAGTCATTTTCCAGGTGGGTCATTGGTGCTTCACATAATAACATACTTAGTCTGGGTCAGCTGACAAACCTTAACCCTATTCAGAGGAGTCTTGACCAATCACGATCATCTGATCGCATCGTTTGTCAGTCCTATTAAGATTATTTTAAACGTCTGAGCCATCAGCATCACCTGTGAGTGCCGTTCAGCTGTGTCAGATGGCAGTTACAAATTCAATGTCACTATATAACCTGTTATATTGTGCCTACCTGGAGTTTACTTGCCTCCAGCTCTAAGGGTAGACTTTCCAGTCTTTGGTGCCCATGTGTCCTCTTTATTTTTATCAGACCGGCTCTTTTGCTGGAAATCCGTTTCAGTGTGGAAATTGATGCTCTTGAAGGAGGAAGCTGCACAGTAACCGGACGATCAGGCAATCTGCTGATCAGCTGTCTGTCGGTGTCTTTGATTGTCATGCTGAAGACATGTTTAATGGTGTCACTTCTGAACTGTGTACACTTCATGTTGATGACCCTTCAATTGATGCCTTGGAACAACCATCTTTAGCACTTTATTGAATATGTCACGTTTGCCCGGAACTCAACTATTATTATGTTAATGTTTTCACAAGTCAGCTGATTAGAAAGTGTTACAAGTTCATTTGTTCCTTCGGACAAATTAATGACTGACTGAAGCAACATAATGTTGATCTGACTATTCCTAACTAAAAGTTACTTTGTGTGCAGGCGGAGTGTGAGCTGGCTCTGTCCAGGAAGATGTCGGAGTGGAAGCCATGGGAGCCGTTGATGGAGGAGCCTCCTCCCAACCAGTGGAAATGGCCTGTCTGAATGCACCTGTGTATGCTGTCTGTTCCTTACCTCTGCTTCTAATGAAATGCAAATAAAAGTCCTGCAAATATTGCCCTATAGAGTCATTGCTGAACATTACATGAGTCTGCAGAGAGCTGAATCCAAATTACTGGACTTAGATCTGAAGAGCAGGACTTTTTTCTTCAAACACTGTGGAAAGACGACCCATGTTTACTGCTGGGAGGATCTCCATGTCCTTCAGATGAACAGCCAGTGATTTGGATTGAGCTTTCCACCTGGGTAATTGAGCTGTTCCAGACATGTCAAGAGTTCTTTAATAAGATATTCAGCTTCGCTCTCTCAACATAAGTTCAGGTAAAAGCAAACGTTTTCTCTCAGTGAAGAGTGCCAGGGTTGGTGTTAGAAGTAAAAACCTTTATTATCAATGTTGACAGGTATCCCTCCACAGCAGTCCCTTGATTCAGTCACAGTTGGAAGAATAAGAAAGATCAGTTTAACTTTTTAGATGGAATACAGCTGCTACAGTCACTAATAATAACGGAGGCCTTTATAACCTGTGGCCTCTAACATGCTGTAAGCAGACAGGTCCGTCCTCCTCAGGCTCTGATGTCCTGTGAGCCGCTTGTAGCTCGCTGTAACAGCTGGACCATGATGGGATAGATGGGAGCAAACTCCTTCCCCTGCCGAGCCCTGACTGACTGCACATAGGCCTCCAGAGCACCCCTTAGAGGAGAACACAGGGAACAGTTCAGTTCCACCACAGGTTTACATGGTGTCATGTGGTTATATTATACGTGCATCTGTTTTCAGAGGGCAGCTTGCTTTGACATGGGAGTGACTGTGGCTCGGGGACTTCCACTTAACAGTGCATGTTGAAGGATCTCAGGCTACATGAATGTATATACCCTAACCCTCTGTGTGAATGTGATGTAGTGTAAAAGTACAAGTACAGACCATTTAGCATCTATGTTTCAGAGCGGACAGAGGGAAAAGTGCACTGTATGTGTGGAAGAGCTCAGGTTTACTATAAAGTGAACAAGCATTTAAAAACTTTCAGTTATATATAATTAATAATCAAATCCACTGTGTCTTAGGTATTTTATTCACTATAAACACTACTGTTTATACTGTTCTCTATTTTTACAACTGGTCTACACCAGTTGTAAAAATAGTTGCTCACCCACTGTTCTTGTATTTCTGGAGACTACAGCTGTTAAATGTAACAGATAAAAAACTAGAAGATGTCCTGTGCAGCCAGAAAATGAAACCTCACTAAAATATGTAGTCACTTTCCATGATTGCAGGTAAACGCTGTGTGTATTACCTCACAGCAAAAGCTGGACTATGACTACAAATAAAATCAACTAATAGTGCACTGTAGTGAACTGTCACTATACAGCAGCTTCAAGTCCACTGGTTTCCTTCCTTCCAGCCACCATCTGGTCTCAGTTCATCTCACTCCTCTGACAATCTAAAAACTACTCAGAAAAACAGTTTTTAGTCAGCTGGCAAGAAAAGAGACACAGCTCTCACCACCATTCACCAGGACAGGATGATGATTCACCACAGTGTTCATCATGTCAGAGTTCTCTGAGCTAATGTGACGGGTCTTGGCTGATGGGACGGAATGGTCTCTTTGACTATGTGATGTGGATTTCCTACATGCAGGTCTGGTAGGAGGAGCAGGTCAGTAACAACAGGAACAAGAAAACATGGCTACCTGAGGAGAGTGAGCCGGTCTCTCTCAGAGGGATGATCGTCCAGCCACTGGGAGTACCGGGAAATGGACCACTCTGCTCTCTGAGGGGGAGAAGGCTCTTTTAGATTGCGGGCAGAGAGGGAGGGGTTGAAACACTGCAGTCAGTGTAGCCCCCGGATTTATCTAGAAACCTCAAATCACGATACTGATGGAATAAGAGAGTGTGTGTACAGGCCTGGTGAGGGGACTTCAGCTCAGACGGCGCTCTGGTTAGGAGGAAGTGCAGCAGGGTGCTGTAGGGGATCAGGTCTCCCACAGCTGGACTGCTGGCTATCAGCTCGCTGTTCTGAAACAGCAGCGGCCTGGAACACAACACACACAGTACAGTGGAATATACTGGAGGACAAATGATTGTAATGAGTGATGGTTTCACGATACATGAGCATACAGACCTGAAGGAGCGCAACATTCTGTAAGGTTTCCCCAAATCAGACACTCTCCTGCACAGAGGAGCCACCGCCATCTCCATCTGACACACGAACAAACATGAACACACCAGTCCGGTGAATGACAGTGGCGTTTTTGAAGAATCCGTGAAACATTGTTGACACAAAGGAAAAACCTAGAATCGTCCAGCTCACCTGTGCAAAGTCAGCAGCCAGCCTCATCTTGCCGCCCTCTCCCAGCGGGCGCAGCAGGCTGGCGTGGCGAATGAACAGCTCGATGGCCCTCTGAGCAATGGACTCTGTGTTCTCGTAGATGAAGTCCACACACTGGAAGTGTCTGAAGTAGTCTGCCATCACTCTGGAGATGAAGCCCTGCAGCTCCTTCATGTAGAGGGAGCACGGAACATCTGGCTTATCAGGGCTGGACAGAGGCCTGCAACACACACACACACACACACACACGCGCGCGCGCGCTTCCATTAAAATATCACCATCTTTTCTCCCAAAAGATGCTACTGGTTGCAGACTACATCACGCTACACCTGTAGGCTCTTTTAGTCTGAAGAACCAGGATGAGCCCATCCACAGCCTCCAATATTAAATCACACAAAATGAATCGGTGTTTTGGTTTTGTTTCTATACTCTTCATTGGCCTCACTAATGGTGAGTAACAACACTGCAATCAAATTATCTACACTATAATGAAAGACAATGATCGCACAGAGAGATGAACTAAAACAAGGCCAATTTAGAACAAAGAACAGGAAGTAGAGATACACTGGAGGTGTAGGAGTAATCATCTTCCTGCAGACACTCAGCTTAATTTGCACTGATCTGTCTAAAGTTTACTGGATCTGACAACTATAGATTGATCATCTCAGTTTATATTAGCTTACTGCTTATGGATATGTCCATTTGGGTGTAAATGTCAAGAAATCCCATGGTTGTCTGAGGTCATTCAGAAATAATGACTCTGTTATCCTGTTCATCCACCAGAGAGCACTGACAGGTTGATTCTCCAAATGGAAAATTCAACAAAAAACCACAGGGATCTGGATGAAGCTTGGTTATATGTTTTGTCATGAAGAAGGCCCAGGTTGACACTGTACTGCATTGAAAAGCCTGTGTGCATACTAACTTCCACACCACTTGCTCAGGCTATGAAGACTGACAATTACACCTTAAGGTGGATGGCCAGTAACTAACTACCTTTCTTGAAAAGTTTACAAACTTTCACAGTCACAGCTTTTGTCAGATTTATTTTGTCTGTTTAACATTGTTTAATATGGTTGTCTGAACTGATTTTTTCGTGTTTTCATTTTCGATATCAGCCTCAGAAATACAGAATTGGCGGTCTTTGTGAAAAGGACTTTGAGGTTTGTGTTGACCAGTCAGCAGAGTTCCTGAGCAGTGGAAACACAGCTCCTGAGGTCCTGAAATGGTTCCCGTGTCCCTGCAAACAGGCCATATGTTGCTTACCCTGAAAAGTCTTCTTGGTGTAGTGTTATGATGATGGCCTCTATGGAGTCACTCACGGACTGCAGGAGAGGCTGCACTGCACTGCTCATCAGGGCCTGCACTCCCTGAAGCAGAGAAGAAGAAACACACCGATGTAACCCACTGTGAGGAGCGTGCAGGGTCCACACCTGTCAGCAGCTACCGTGCATCCACCAAGATCAAACCACACAAACTTTACTGCTCATTACCTGTGTCTTAGGGGCTCTCTGTTGCCATAGAAACGTGTGGAGTTATGTGAATAGTAGGTAAATACTGTGATGTATGCTGTGTGGATGTGTGTGGGTATATTCTCTGATCCACCCGTCTGTGTCTGACAGCTCCCAGCTATGTTAATTTAGACAACTTTTGGATCAGAGATCAGGCACATTTCCCTCAGGATTTATGAGTTTCTAAAAGATGCATGCACTCCAGCACAGAGCAGTTTTATTTTTGTCAATAAAAACAACTAAATATTTACTGCAAACCTTTTTCCTAGGATGAATGCAAAATCTAAAAAGCAGAGCCCGACTGATTTATTGTTGTGCAGATATTATGCTGATATGAGATAATTGCAGATAAATTGGTATCGGCATTTATAAAAGTGATTGATGACAATTAAAAAAGAAACAGAGGGACAGATCTTTCACTCATGTCACGAGTGTTGCATAGTTTGCCCACCAGAGGGTGCGCTGCAGCTCCTCTGTTAATAACACTGCTGCACCACAGAACAAAACAATCAGCTGACCGCAGTAGGAAGGTCAGAGTTGGTCCTTCATCACGTGAAATACATGACTTAAATAAATGTGTAACGGTAGTATGAAATCTCTCTTCGTTGTAGACAGTCATGTAGTATTAGATGCATTCATTTTATAGTTATAGTTTTATAGTATAGTAGTTATTTCATAGTTTGTCATAATGTAATAAAATAATTGTAATGACATGAGTATATGGTATTATTGTTATAATTGGTACACTAGATGTAGTATATTAGTATCTTTTATTTATAGTTTCGGTTTAGCAGGCCCACAAAATAAGCTACAAACACCATTTCCTTTAATGTTCATTAGTAGTAGTTCTCTATAGTTTATAACTGATCTTTAAATCTTTTTTGTAGTTTTGACTCTAATTTAATTTAATTTAGACTTTATATATTTTGTTGTACTTTTGTTTAATATTCTGTGATGTTATCTTGGTGAGGTCTCATAACAACAAATGTAATAATCTTTATGTTCTGGGTTTCTGAAAAGAAGGGGAAAAAAGAATACCGGCCGATATATCGGCATATCAGATTTTTAAATCCTCAAATATCGAAATCTGTATCGGTCTTAACAATCCCACATCAGTCGGGCTCTACTAAAAAGTAACTTCTTGAAACAAGAACTATGACCTCATGTATTTTCATCAAAGAATAAAAGCTAAATGATTATGTGAAAGGTGGACAAATTAACTCATTAATATCTTAATGCTCCGGACTGGTCAAACATTCTCCACCACACAGACTACCTCCTCTGAGCTACTGCTGCATTAATAAGCAGCTTCCGGCATTCAAGGAACACTGTGTCTCTGCCTGTAGCTTTACTAGAACTCATTTATGGACTGAATACATCTACAGTCATCCTCACAAATAAACAAGAACAGCACTTACCCAGGTAGAACTAGGCGAATTTTTGTGTTATATTTTGTGACTAAAATAAAGAGCAGTGAGATACGGGTAGCTGAACCACAGAGAGTGGCGGTCACTCAGTGATGTGGACGCTGTGTGTGTGAACCATTACAGTCTGCTGCAGGCTAACACTGCATGTTTGCTAACCTCAAAGAGAACAGCAGACATTTAATTCTTTTTCTTCTGTTTACCTGGCAGTCTGAACAACCCAGACACTTGAACAAAGACTGCAGCTGGAAAGGACTAGTTAAACATGTAATCATCAAGTATACTTTCCTATATTGATACTATTCTATTATTTTATATTTTCATAAAAATAATGCATGTATCTTTTTCTCCTCATACATACGAGCAAGGAGATTTGTCATATTCAGCGAGGGAATGCAGTCTCAGCTTTGGACAGGGGCTAAACATCATCTTTGTGATGCACCAGCTGACATATTGTGTCATCCAGATGGTTTGAAGGCTCTTTGAGGAGTCTGGGGAAACCGTCAGAACCGCCGCCGTTTTTTTAAAAACATTTTTTTAAATAACCATTATTTTATTTTTCAGAAAGATTAATGCTTTGCGCTGACTGTAATGGGAGTACATAAGAGGCATTAACCAGAGCTAAATATACAATATAACACAAAAATGATTAGACTAAATTTAACAGAAATCAAATGACTAAATTGTGACTAAAATCAACAAACAGATATACACTAAATAAAAAGCAGGGGCCTAAATTAGCACTGGAGAGGAAACAAATTATGCACTGATCTTAAAAAAAAATTAAAAAAATAAATAATATGGAAGGAGAGTGTTCCCTGTGATTATGTTGCAGCAGTTAAAAGACAAAGTCATCACACTATCCTCACAGGAGAAGGTGTGGTTTCTACTGATATACTTCAAAGCAGCATTGTAAATACACAAGCAGAAGAACAAAAGCAGAGGATGTGTGTTAAATGAATAAAAATATAAATAATACCTCCATAGAAGAAGAGAGGGCCTCTGCAGCAGCTGGTGGACACGAGCCCAATCCTGAAATAATCTGCAAATACAAAACACAGGTTACATTTGTACAGCACCTACATCAAATTGCATAAAGACATTTAAGAGCGCGATGTACAGAACTCACAGATGCGTATGGGAAGGCTGTTCAACAGTTTTGGTCTGTTGCCAAAGAATACTCTATCTGGGAGAGTCTCATGTTATTCAAGACAGATGGGTCAAGGTTATTTTTCTTTGGGAGAAGTCTGACTTGTGCTTTTTCACATCCACCCCTTCCTATTTCACAACCTGTCTTTCCTGTCCCTCCACCGCTCCCCCTGCCTGGAATACATTCTCACTCTGGTTTCACATAGTCAAATTTCAGGGCTCGAGGTTAAATATTTCATGCTGGAGTAATCTGTTTTTTTATGCTATTAATCAGCCGGGTGTGCTGTTGTGTACCATACATGTTTAATGGAGAGAACACACAAACAGACCCCAGTCAATTCGGATTAGCAGACACACCTCCTCCACTCTATTGCTCAACACCGGAGCCCCTCAGGGCTGTGTGCTCCGCCCCCTCCTGTTCATGCTGTACACCCACGACTGCATCCCCCGACATGGAGAGAACTCTGTTTGCAGATGACACCACCATCATCAGTCGGATTTCAAACAACGATGAGACACTGGGAGGAAATTGACAAACTTGTAGAGTGGTGCTCAGAGAACAAACTACTGCTCAACGTCAGCAAAACTAAGGAGCTGATCATTAATTTTAGGGAGAAGGAGATAAAGATACACACTCCTGCCTACACCAGTGGTGCTGAGTTGGAGCAGCTGAATAGTTTCAGGTTCCTGGGAATCAGCATCACAGAGAACCTGACATGGTCGTCTCACATCTCCATGCTGGTGAAGAAAGCTCAGAAACGAAGAAGGCCAAATTCCCACGCCAAGTTCTTGTTAGCTTTTACAGAGGAGCAATAGAAAGCATCCTGACTGGAAACATCACAAACTGGCATGGGATGTGCACGGCCCAGGACCGGAGGGCTCTGCAGCGGGTGATTAAAACTGCTCAGAAGATCATTGGTACCCATCTCCCGAGCATCAGTGATATCGGTGAGGTGCCTACGCAGAGCCCAAAGGATACTAAAGCCACAGCCTGTTCACCCTGCTGCCTTCTGGGAAGAGTTTCTGCTGCCACACCACCAGACTGCAGAGCAGCTTTTTCCCCCAAGCTATCTGACTCTAATTCACCCTCAGCACTGCTCCAGTGATGATAGTTTATTTCTGTTACCATTTTTCATAATTGATTCTTTATTAATGTTTACTGTCTGCTGAAGAAGAAGGACTCAATTTCACTCTATAACTTGTTATATTGTGACAATAAACTTACCTACCTACCTAGTTGCCATTTGCGGTCCTATTAGCTGACTCTTATAGTGTTCTGATAACATTGTCTCATCCCTTAAATAATGAAATTAATATGTGATCTTTGCGACATGCTAAAGGGTTGTCAGTGTGAGCACATTTTCATGCACAGGAGGGTGGACTTGTTAAGTAGCAAACAGCTTTTCAAATTGAGGCAATTTAAAAGTGTGGGAAAGACAAAGATTTTTTAAAGACGGCAGGGTTTACTGGAGGGGGTAGCTTAGTCTGGAGGCTACTGGATCTTGTATATTTAGCTGTGATCTAAGTTCAAAATTATCACAAGTGTGCAGATTACATTTTCACATACAAAGCCAGCTTGACACTGGAGAAATATAGTTCTATTTCATTTTTTTGCCAGCACTCTCAGCTAGGGATAAGCTAGCAAGTGTCTTTCCAGCTCTAGAGTAGAGAGTAGGCTGGCGAAATAAGTGTTTCCTTAGTAAACATAGGCTGCTATTTTGAGGGAGGAGCCTGTTTTCTGGTGTCCTTTTTGTTACCGTTTGTTTCACGCTAGAGGTAGCGGTACTTGCTGTTGATCATTTACAGGCTCCCTTTTGTGTGTTTTCGCTCGTTAAAGCATATCAAGTTTTGATAAAGAGAGTTGGCTCCCCAGTAGACTATGTGGCTTCACTTATGGGTGGATTTATTTTGATTATTAAGAAGGAGTTATTTTCATTTGAGTTAAATAAAAATAAAAAAGAGACAAAATGAAACTCACTCTGATCTGTTATTTTTTTGGTGTTTTCGCTCGCAAATAACAGTTATTTCCCCACAAAGTCTCAGGCACTGAGACAGGAGATATCAACCCTCCAGGAGAAGGAGGCAATCGAAAGAGTAGATCTTCTGATACAGCAAGGTGGGTTTTACTCTTTTTACTCTCTTTTTATTTTCTGATTCCAAAAAAAAAGAGGGTGGGTTTCAGAATCAGAATCGGGTTTATTTCCAGGTACATTTTACGAGGAAATTGCCTCGGTATAAATTGGTGCTTACAGTACACATGAACATAAATAGAAACATAAATATATAAAAAGTAAGGAGATCAAAAAATTTACAAGTATACAACAATCACAATAACACTATAATACTGACAAGTATGTGCAAAAATTGTGTGTGTGTGTGTGTGTTTGTTTGGGGATGGGGTATCATGGCCTTGTTGAGGAAGACCACTGCCATCGGAAATAAATAAATAAATGTAATATCGATCTTTATCGATTGTGGCGAGAGGTTTTGGTCCTGATGGACCGCAGCCTCCTGCCAGAGGGGAGAGTCTGAAACAGTTTGTGTCCGGGACGGGAGGGGTCAGCCACAATCTTTCCTGAAGTCCTGAAGGCGAACAGGTCCTGGAGAGATGGACGGTGACAACCAATCACCTTCTCTGCAGTGGAGTGGATAATACGCTCAGCCTTCCTTTGTCCCTGGCGCTGGCAGCAGCGTAACAGATGGTGATGGAGGAGGTGAGGATGGATTCAATGATGGCGGATAATAGGGATGGGGATCGTGAATTTTGCATCCAGCGACCCTGCGTCGTTGCGGAGAAACCTACGGACACTCAAACTACAAGAGACCATCCCCCAACACTGCTGGTACTCAACGACTGGCACACGAGCTGAATGGTTTCTACTGTAGGTTTGAAAAGCCCTGAGTCACACCTCTCCCCCACTCCAACACCATCTTCAAACAGTCACCTTCCCCCTCTGACCTCTCTGCACTCAAGATCTGTGAAGAGGACGTGAGCCACCTCTTCCAGAGGCAGAACATCAGGAAGGCTCCTGGCCTCGACGGTGTCTCACCATCGTGCCCGAAAATCTGTGCGGACCAGCTGGCCCCCATCTTCCCTCAGATCTTCAACAGATCACTGGAGCTGTGTGAAGTTCCCTCCTGCTTCAAATGCTCCACAGTCATCCCGGTCCCAAAAAAACCCTCCATCTCTGGACTAAATGACTACAGGCTTGTCGCCCTGACATCTGTAGTCATGAAGTCCTTTGAAAGACTGGTGTTGGCCCACCTGAAGGACATTACAGGCCCCTCATGGACCCCCTGCAGTTTGCCTACAGGGCTAACAGGTCAGTGGATGATGCTATCAACCTGGGTCTGCATCACATCCTGCAACACCTTGACTCTCCAGGGACATATGCTAGGATCCTGTTCAGCTCGGCGTTCAACACCATCATCCCGGACATCCTCAGCACCAAACTCACCCAGCTCACTGTGCCAGCCTCCACCTGTCAGTGGATCACAGACTTCCTGACTGACAGGAGTCAGCAGGTGAGGCTGGGGAACATCACATCCAGCACCCGGACTATCAGCACTTGGCGCCCAGGAGTGTGTGCTCTCCCCACTGCTCTCCTCCCTCTACACCAACAACTGCACCTCAGGAGACCCATCTGTCAAACTCCTGAAGTTCGCTGACGACACAACGGTCATCAGCCTCATCACTGGTGCGGCCAGAACAACCTGGAGCTTAACACGCTCAAAACTGTGGAGATGATCGTGGACTTCAGGAAGAGCCCCCCCCACTCTTCCCCCCATCACCATATTCAGCAGCCCTGTGTCTGCTGTGGAATCCTTCAGGTTTCTGGGTTCCACTAACACGATCATCAAGAAGGCCCAGCAGAGGATGTACTTCCTGCTTCAGCTCAGGAAGCTCAACCTGCCTAAGGAGCTGCTGATCCAGTTCTACACAGCCATCATCCAGTCTGTTCTCTGCACCTCCATCACTGTCTGGTTCGGATCTGCCAGCAAAAAGGACAGGGACAGACTCCAACAGACAGTCATGACTGCAGAAATCATCGGTGCCAACCTGCCCTCCATTCAGGACTTATACATTTCCAGAGTCAGGAAACGGGCAGGAAACATCACTGCAGATCCATCTCACCCTGGACACAACCACCTTCAACATGTACATAATGAGAATAGTTTACTCTTGCATCCTTTGCACTACTTGTTAATATGTCTATATTGGTTTGTTCATAATGTGTATGTTAGTGTTGTCTATACTGTAGTTTGTGTCTGATTTTATTTTATTATTGTGTTATTGTATTATTGTATAAGTAAGCACATCGTGAGCAATGTACAATCCTGAGTCAAATTCCTCGTACGTGTACACATACCTGGCAATAAAACTGATTCTGATTCTGAACTTCTTCAGCTGCCGCTGGAAGTACATCCTCTGCTGGGCCTTTTCGCCCTATGCTGGGCTGAACAAATTTGCCTTTCCACATGATATGTACAGCAGATGTGCTAAAAGCCATGGTAAGGCAAAGTTGGTTCACATCCATCAATCTGAAGGATGCAAATTTTAACATCCCAATAGCACTACATCACAGGCAGTATCTGCGCTTTGCATTCGCATCAGTTAAAGGTGCTCCCATTCGGTCTTTCCCTAGCCTCAAGGGTCAAGATCTTCACAAGATCCCATGGCACCTGCCAAGGAGGCAAGACCTGCTCTCGCAGCTGGGGGGCCACATCTGGCATCTGAGCCCGGAACACCTGCAGCTATGGGTGTGGGCTTTGAGGGGCCTGACCCACTCCTAGGGTCCACACCTTTAGGGACTCCAGAGCCTCTTCCACCACGGCATTTTATTTCTCAGAGTGAGTAGAGCTAATAAAGTAGCTCCTGAGACATCCTCTGTGCCTATAATATTGCATTTTTTGCAGTCTTTGCTTTGCCTTAGGGTCTATTGGCTACAATTTCCGCCAGTCACATTAGCTCTGAGTGAGATTTGCGCTGCAGCCACCTGGGCTACACCATGCACCTTTACCAGTTTTTATTGGTTCAATGTCGCTGCTCCCCATGCAGTAGTGGCAGCTGTCTTTGAGGCTGTTCACGGTAACGTGGGATTCCTCGTGATGATGTTTGTAGCAGTCCTCCAGTGTTAAGCACTGCCTTTGGCGGTCAGGAAGAATGAAATAGTTCTATGAATCCTGGATGACTGCCAGAGTTCTCTGTCATTTAGAATCTTGGTGAGAAGATTTTATAGGACATTTTTCTTGATGACGTGGGCTTATATAAGCTACGCCCCTGTCATCCCAGGTCACAGGTGACTTTGTTGATATTAAAGACTCGACCTGTGCGTGCCCGAGATGGAGTGTTAAGCACTGCCTCTGGCAGTCATCCAGAATTCACAGAACCATAGTTCCATATGTAACTCGTGATTTATTATGGTGAAATCTGTATTTGGTGACAAAATGATACAAATGACCACACTATACACGTGGCTATAGCTCTGATCTAGGACAGGGTTATATGAAGTTACTGCAATCTTGGCTAAATGTGTAGGTTTATTCAGATTTATAGCCTCCTACCTTGGCGACTGCCTGCTGCAGACGGTAGAGGGAGTTGACCACAGCAACATTCCTCCTCTGGCCCTCTGTTAACGGACCAATCACCTGACTAGCATCACCCTGAGTACACAACTGCAGACAGAGAGGTGTGACTGAGTAACAGGTAGACACAGACACAGAGACACACGAAGGCAGTGTATGGTACAAAGATCATTTTTTGTTGTTTTTGTTATACTGTCGATGTATCTATCATTTTTAACAAGTTCGTTGTGTTATGGGAACATGGCAGGTTAAGCATATACAGAGATGAAACTCAGGATTTTATATTTGCACCAACATGCACACACACAATGCTGTAGTACACACCAGCTGTTCAGACTTGACACAAAAGAGTTGGACGGTCTTGGCAGCATTCTTGGCCACAGACAGAGAGAGGTTTGGATCTACTGATGCTACGTTCAGCTCACTGCAAACAAACAAAAAAACAACAAAATAAACTCAAAAGATCTTCCATCCCATTCAAATAAACTAACCTGGAGTTATACTGTAGCTCGGGTGGATAATGTTTTTAATAAAAGAATATTCATCTCATAAGCTTTTTACATATGAGAACCAAAAATGTGTGCACGTGCAGGTTGGAGAGATGATAACTGGTCCAATACTCACTCTCTGTTAGCTCTGTGTTCTGTTGCACCAGTATCTGAGGGAGATTTCTGGCTCTTTAGCTGCTAAATGCTCCGCTACCAGCTGCTCTCTGACTGTGTCTGAGTGCTGTTTGCTGCTGAGCAGGTAGTGTACAGTGGCTGCTGCTGCGGCTGAAGATAATGCTATGAGAGCAGTGAGTGGATCAAAACAGTAAAGTAGTGGGCCTGACAAATAAACAAGCTGAAACTCACTATGAAGCTGCGAAAGCTGAGGGGAGCTGCAGGTTCAGATGAAAATTCTCTGAGGATTCATCACAAATTGTCATAAAACATCATTCCAAATATCCAGCTCTGGTCAGGGAGCGAGAAAGAAATTCTGAACCATGTAGGATTTTATGTGTTAATAATGCCACCTCTCTCTATCAAAATAACGCATATTTCGTGGTTCCTTTATGCCCCCCTGTCATTATTTTTATCCAACTTAAAAGATGCTGTCTATCTCCTAGTGAGTTTTTTCAACATTCTATTTATTAATGAATAAATATTTTATAAATGCCAGAGTGACTGGAATGCCTTGTAGGATAAATCAATAACCTTCAAACATGTTGACACACTATCAAGCGACAGGAAGTGGCAGACGCAGCAATGACTGATTTGGTCACCTCCTGTGGGTCTTCGCTGTGAGACAGCCAAACTGGCATGAACTGTACTTGCCTGCTGATGGTCTTGACGATGCTGTCCAGCTCGTCATTGGAGGGTGGGTTGCGGCCGCCCAAAGGGAACACAAGGTTGATCGGATCAAACAGGCGAGAGAGGGACTTGGAAAGGTAGGCTGCCTCGTACGGCTGCAGAGAGTCCTTCAGAGCCTTCTCTGGGCTGCATACACACAAAAGATGGACACAAAAATCAAAAAAGATGCAGAATGTACATACACAGAGGATGTGTTCAGAAGACAAATACAGTTTTCTTCTCTCAGTCACAACAGCCAATCAGAACAGGAACTATCACCACTTCACTGTCAGGTAGCCTTTAAAACATTTCAAATCAATCAAGGCACCCACAATATACTTACTTTCTCATATTGACATATAGTAATATCTTCTAATTGGCTAATATATCTGTGCTGACATTTATTAATGGAATACTTCATGCTGACATTAATGGAAACAAAATGCCACTGTCTCTCGTCCTATTACTATTCAGTACAGACATACTACCAAAGGCTTGTGTGTGTATTCACCACCATTATGTCATGACTATGTCATTGTGAAAGAGACAAGAAGGGAAAAATGTTCAAAGTGTCCAATGTATTGTTGTTAAGTATCATGGTGTAGCCACCTACACTTGTGAGCTGTGAACACTGCAGGTACCACCATCAGGGCTCGGTGAGACTGAATGTGTTACGGACATTGGCCAGCAGCTTGATTGACAGGTGAGTAAAGGGAAATGGCCTGTTATCTAACGTGTGTGCTCACAAGTATCTGTGCACATGCTCCTGTCATCAGTGCTCTTACAAGGAAGGCCTTCTCCATCCTCTCCCTCTCCATCAGCCTGTTAACATAAGCCGCTTTTCCACCAGAGGAACTATACCTCGGAACTAGGAACGTTTGGAGGTACCACGGTCTAAATATAGTTCTACAGTCTTTATTTTACCCCCTAAAAAGTCCCTGCTCGGGGTGTAGTACTTCCCGAAAGTACCGGTACATTGGGGGGTGGGACTTACCTTCCAGTGAATTTCTGAATGGGCGAGTAGAGACTACCTACTTTAAATTGAGCATGTCGGCTGTTTTTCTACAACTGCTCCTCTTTTCCACTGTTGTTTGAACACCAATAAATCACAATCAAAAGTCAGATTGCACACAAGTCTTGCCGATGTCTGCCTGAGATCGTATGTCAGCATTAGGCTGAATGTATTGCTGGGCAACAGCAACCAGCATGCAGCGCTGTGTTTACAGCAAACAGCTGAAGGAGTTATTTAAGTTTTTACACAGAGCCGAAGTCGGTCTCCTCTTCTCCAAAACAAGCGGAACAGCTGATTACAGCAGGTAATAAAGCTTGTTAAAAATCACGTTCCTTCCTCCGGCGGACACAGACTTGAGTGCTGCAGCTGATCTGTATGGATCATGTATGGATGGAAAACTAAAATTCTAAAACTAAAAGTCTAAATCAAAAACTAAAAATCTAATTCAAAAACTAAAAATCAAGATCAAAAATGGATTTGGGATTTGGGATTGGGCATTTAGTATTTAGAATTGGGCATCTGGCTATTTGGCCATTTAGGATTGGGCATTTGGTATTTAGGATTGGGCATTTGGTATTTAGTACTGGGCATTTGGCCATTTAGGATTGGGCATTTAGGACTGGGCATTCAAGTATTTAGGATTGGAAATTTGGGTGTTTGGGATTTAGGATTAAGGAGCGTATGTATATAAGGGGGCATTGCCCAAAGACCGAAGACTGGGTTTGAAATAGCTTGTGCGCAGAGGCACATTATGGTCAGCAGTGGGAGCTCTCAGTGCTAAAGAGCACACTGCAATGAAACCAAACAGAGCGAGTGAGCAGGGCTGGAGGGAGGACTATACTTTATAATGTGATAACTTCAACTTGAAAGCGTTGAAACATTTCTATGGCCTCACAAACAAAGTCACCAGTGAAAGGAGCGCTATCGGTCTGGTATCTTTGGATAATCCATAATTCGCTACATTTTTTATTTGTTTCAAAACAAAAAATTTAATAATCTGAATATAAATTCAGTCTATATAAATTAATACATATTAAAATACCTAATTTGACATTATCCTTTTGCACAAAGGCAGTGCCACAATTACAAGGTGTGGCTTACCATAAATCCTGATCTAAACATCTGAAAGTAACAACATGACCCTTTTATGGTGCTGGAGGAAGGAGTGGTGTTCTGCTTAGACAAAGCATAACACCACTCCTTCCTCCAGCAGTCCAGCATTTATTTGAAAAGAGAGTGATGGCAGGTGACTGGGACCAGCCTTGGTACCATCATCAGTCCTCAAACCCTGCACAGGCTCAGAATGGTCTTGAGGAAAATCTTGGAGGTCCTGGTATGTTTTTCTCCCAGACTCAATTTCACTTTTATTTTACTTTACATAAGTAAGGGTTAGGGTTAGCCTTTCCCTTATGGTTCATCAAACAGAATTAAACCCAAGTAAAAGATCTGAACGCCTCAGAGCTCATGCTTTTTGACTCACAATAATGCTCACCAGATTTCATTCTACATAAGTAATGGGAACAACAGGCTGCATGTAAAGTTTTAAATATAATTAACTAAAATAATACTATATATTACACTGGCAAATTAAATGTCATAAAATTGCAAAAATAGAAAAAAGCTCCACAGATTTGTTTTGGTAGAGTTTTGTTTTGACTCAGAAGGGGAAGCTGAGAGAGTTGTTAACAATGACCATGCCATCAAAAAAGTAGCAAGAAGGCAGGTGAAGTTCTTCACATCCTGCGGCTTCAAACTCAGTGATTAGCTTCCTTTGGTAGCAGTGCTAGCTGTTATGGCAGAAAATTGTGTCCTCTTACATTTAATCTTTTATGTATGTTCTTTTACTATTAATCCGCGGAGATCAGCGCGGAAAGAATATCCGCATTTATGTTGCATTCGCTTATTCATACTGAACAAAGGTTTGCAGCATTTCACACGGAAGTGTGAAAAGGCCTTTATCCAGCAATCATGTGTGCTTTCACATAGCGGTCTGGCTTTACCGGAACCAGCAGCGTGCCGCTGCATGTCGGCTATGGCTTTTCACAAACAAATCATTCCGTCTTTCTGTCTCGTGTCTGTCACCAACTTACCAGGGTAAGAGGCGGATAAAATTTGCTCCATACCTTTCATAAAGTGCAGCGAGCCGGCAGATTGGCGCAATACCCCTGTGAAACGAGGCAGCGTGAAAGCTGCTAGTGTTTAAGGAGCTAATTACAAAAGTTGTACTAGTAGTATTTTTAGCTTTTAGCTGGCTATTTGGCCGTCCAGTCAGTGTCTGACACACTATCAGATCTTCTAATGGTCCTGCTGTCCTCCCCAGAGATCAAGGAGACTGATCCATAGGGTGTATAAAAAATGTTGATCCCACAAAAGCTGTGATGCTGTGGCACTAGGACTCTGTCAGAACCAGGAGGCCAGCAGAGGGTGATCGTAGAAAGTGAGCAGCCTGATGAGGAGGTTTAATTTGAATTAAAGCTGCAAGCAGCGTTGGGCGGGCCCTCGCACTTGTAAGCGCGTCCGCGTGTGGCTGTGGCTGTGAATTTGTTACGCGGTTATGACGCCGCATGAAGGTGTTATATGTCACTTCCTGTGTCCCCTATGTGGAGCTACATAGCACTTGCCGCTATGAATATAAATCGGTATTGGTGTGAAGATGTCTGCGGGGTGGGAGAGTTATCAAGCACGTAAAGTTTGTTTCAGATGTGAGCATGTACACTGAACAATAATGTACCCAAACAATAAAATAAATTCCTTTTATATTTCCCTGCCTTGTTGTTTATGTGTACATACAGAGGAAGAATGTGAGAACAGCACACATTTCATCGTTACTGTGTGTTAGAGCATGGGAGAACAGTGGATACTTTTAATACAGCCCACACCCCTAATACTGTGTAACTATAACAAGTAGAGAACAGAAGAAAAAGATGTTCTTTCTTTACAACTGTCTGCATAGCTTATTCATATTGTGTAATGAATGAAAATAAATAGGCCTACTAGGCTCCTCTCTACTTTGACATTTAAGATTAGCTGTGCGTCTGGACAAGATACACGTACCACAGAAAATTCGTGCACGTAGGTGAAACGTGCGGCGGGGGCTGCTTCGTTAAAAGTCACTTCCTGTTGCCAGCAGGTGGCGCTATGACTGTGGGTGAATATCAGCATGTACATGTGTTCAGGGCGGGACTCTCATCCTACATGTAGTTTGGTGCAGATCATCAATCAATCAGTTCTGACATGTTTGCAAATTTTGGTGAGTTTTCGAGTATGTTTAGGCCCTGTGAATGGAGATCATCAATCAATCAGTTCTGACATGTTTGCAAATTTTGGTGAGTTTTTGATTATGTTTAGGCCCTGTGAATGGAGATCATCAATCAATCAGTTCTGACATGTTTGCAAATTTTGGTGAGTTTTCAAGTATGTCCCTGTCAATGGAGCCTACTTTGCAGAAAAAAACAAAACAAAACAAAAAAATCTTAGCAAATTCAATAGGGACCTCGCACGGTCGTGCTCGGGCCTTAAATATATAATCTTAGCAAATTCAATAGGGACCTCACACGGTCGTACTCGGGCCCTAATAATCTTAGCAAATTCAATAGGGACCTCACAAGGTCGTGCTCGGGCCCTAAATATATATATAATCTTAGCAAATTCAATAGGGACCTCGCACGGTCGTGCTCGGGCCCTAAAAATATATAATCTTAGCAAATTCAATAGGGACCTCGCACAGTCATGCTCAGGCCCTAAAAATATAATCTTTACAAATTCAATAGGGACCTCGCACGGTCGTGCTCGGGCCCTAATGATAATGATAAAATGAATTGCCAAAAATAAAAAACGGGCCATGTTTGATTGGTTTTTCATTTTATATTTCTGACACCAATCCACAGAAATGTTACAACTCTTTCATCAAGTTGAAGTTATCACATTATAAAGTATAGTCCTTCCTCCAGCCCTGCTCACTCGCTCTGTTTGGTTTCATTGCAGTGTGTTCTTTAGCACTCAGAGCTCCCTCTGCTGACCATAAGGTGCCACTGTGCACCAGCCTTTTCAAACCCAGTCTCCAGTCTTTGGGTTATGCCCCCTTATTTGTATACACTCATCAATCCTAAATCCCAAATAACCAAATGCCCAATCCTAAATGCTCAAATGCCCAATTCTAAATACTAAGTTTTAGTTTTTGATTGAGACTTTTAGTTTCAAACTTTTAGTTTTAATTCTGACCCAATAATCCCTGCAGATGTGCAGCTCTTGTCAGCTGGAAATGTTTTAATGACCTTCCAAACGGTTGCAATTTTGTTTGTGTTTTTTTCACTGTGCTGGAGTTCTTTTATGAACTTGTGATTGTTTTATCCAGTTTGTTATTACATTTGTAACAAACTGTTAAACACCCACACAAAAAAGCTGTAAAAAACGCACATAACAATAGGCTGAAGGAACCTTTTAGTCCCTTGAAAAGAGATCCGGGGACTAAAACGTTTTGGTCGAAACGTGGCTATTGTTCCTTTGCTCCACAGTCTCTCCTCCCTGTGCTCCTGCACTCCTTCATTTCACCAGCTTCTTTTCATATCTCTGCTGCTACAGAGGCACTGACCCCTGTTACCACTTCCAATACCTAAACTCAACAGGATTTCTGCACTGATCAGAAGTTTTTCTGGAAAACTGGATGGTTCTTTGTGTAACGTAACACATGGCTGTAAACAGGAAGTGGAGATGTTAATGCACCAACATTCTGTTTAGGTATATGAAAATGTGATTATATTCTAGAAGCTTGATAAATTAGTAACAATTTTATTATTATGACTAGAACTATAAAATAGGATTTAATGGAGATCAGTCTTATCTGGCAGATGCTCGAGCCGTTTAATAAGCTCTAGTGTATTAGATTGGAGCATCCTTATCTCCGACTCTCCATGCAATTCATCCCCCTCTGTCACCCAGTAGGAAGCAAAGCTCTTGGGTATGAATGTATACATTTTGCTGCCCTGCAGAAGCTAATTCTGCAATAACTTGTTCCAGTGTAAGTAAATGTCCCTCACATTAAATGAAGTGTTGAAACATGAGTGAAACATAATTCTGCCACACTGTTTCATAGAACATATTTTTAAGGATTGGTGCAATAATATTTCCTGATAATGTTACAACTCCTTTGGCAATAAAGGAGTAATAATTATTACATCTGTTGTACTGTGATGTCTGAAGGCTTTGAGTTATTTTCTATTTTTGTGTGTCCAAACCACATAAACACTAAGACAAAGCAGAACAACTACAGCCTAACCTCCATAGTGCACTATACTGGCAGTCAGTTGCAATAATGCAGTGTACCATTTCAACTCACAGGAAATTATGCAAATGATGGAAACTGTATAAAACTGTGACTTAAAAACCATTATCTACAACCAACCAAAAATCTAAAGTAAATCCAGACTGCACTCAAAGGCATTCACTGATGAACTAGTTCCTAAATAAGATACACTCATTTCACTAGTGGCTTGTCAGATTGGATTTTGGACACTTCATCATCATTTTGCATCATCACTGACAGGTTTAGTGTCACACCATGGTAATTTTCACATCTAGAAAATACCATGAGAGACAGTTAGTCACGGGCACTCAACACTGGATGGGTTTCCATTCCATTCTGCAAAAAACTCCAACCCGGCAGGATTGCAGGTGACCAAAATGCTGCTTGTGAGGTGAGCGAGCCTTTACGAGTTTAGAAGTGCTTGTTCGCTTGTAACCAGAGTGTTAAGTTAATCTAAAAAAATGACATATATAGTCGAGAATAACCCTTTCCAACCTCGTTCACACCAAACTAAATAGCCAGCAGGTGTGATCACACCCTGAAGGGACTCTGTGCTGTTGTCTTTGTGTCTGCTTACTTATAGTCCTGTTTTCCGTGTGTGAAGAGGTCCTGACTGTCTGTCTCTGTGGCGCTGATGTCCAGAGAAGCATCCATCCCTCCGCTGCTTGTTAGTGCCCCCTGCAGGCTGGCACTGTACTGCTGCAGGCGCCGCCACAGCTCATTGTACAGTCGCAACAACTTAGGATACTCTCCTTCAAACGCCTGCTTCAGGAAGGATGAGGCTATATTTAAAAAAAGACATGAGCAGAGGCTGTTAGAAAATGTCATATCATATTACATGTGATTTGAGTTTGTTTATTATACAGCCTGCAGACAATTTCTAATAAAAGCTACAGCCTCACCGGTCACTTTGATAAATGCATTGAAGATATGGTATTGTCCTGAGGCCCGCCTCTTATAGAAGGAAATCACAACATGTAAACAGTCCAGGACAAAACTATTACATGATTACAGTTGATCTTTCACTTGATTAAAACTGGCAGCTAGCCTGCCTCTGTCCAAACCTAAATAACAGTGTTTATTTATGCTAAGCTAGTCTAACCACGCCCTGACTCCACATCTGTACTTACCACACACGAGATTAATATCTTGTCATCTCCTCTCAGAATGAATGACAATAAGCATTTTTCCTAAAATGTTAATTCATACAAACTTTACTGCAATATTGTTGTGGTTTTTCCTTCTTTTTCTTGCTCTCAGTTCTATCAGAGGCCCTGAAATTGCAGGCTTAGGAAATAAGAGCTGCATGATTCCAATCTCTGGTGACGTACTGGTGATGTAATATGCTGCCTATGTTTTTTTAATTAGCAGTGTGTTGCTTTTAGGACTCCTTTTTTCAATTGTTGCCCATATTGTTTTTAACTGGTTAACAACTTGGTAAAAAAAAAAAGCTTTAACAGCACAGACTAAGGGCATTGGGAGGGGAGAAAGCTGGAAACAATTCAGAGGTGGACAGAACGTTTGCTCTCAGAAGATTTGAAGTACATCCCACAGTGATGGAGATATAGAAAGATGAGAAAGAGAGAGACCGGGGTTCTAATCCACTGTGAGACACCATTGTGTCCCTGAGCAAGACTAGTTGCTCTAGAGGCGTGCGACCTTTGACATTTATAGCAATTGTAAGTCGCTTTGGATAAAAGCATCAGCTAATTGTTTGTGATTATAGAACCATTTTTTTTTTTTACAGCTTCTATATTAAGATATAGTAGAATCAGAATCAGAATGAGGTTTATTGCCAGGTACATTTTCGAGGAATTAGCCTTGGTATATTGGTGCCTTGGAACATAAATATATAAATATAAATATAGATAAAGTAAAGAAATCAAAAATGTACAAGTATACAAAATAATACAATAGTACTATAATACTAAATGAAAAAGAAATGCAAAAATATACAGGATATTACACGATATTAACAAGCAGTATGCAAAAATTCACCATAAGCGTAAAAGAATTCGTGCAATGGACAGTTTGTGTGTGTGTTTGAGGGGGGGTGGCGTAAGAGTCAGTGACAGGCCTCCTTAACAAGGCCTGGGTCCCCACGTAAAGAAAGTGTTCTTGTGGTGCGAAGTTTTGGTCCTGATGGACCGCAGCCTCCTGCCAGAGAGGAATGTCTGTAACAGTTTGTGTCCAATCTTTCCTGCTCGCCTCAGAGTCCTGGAGGTGTACAGGTTCTGAAGTGCTGGGAGAGCTTGTCCTGCAGCAGGACCGGGATGATGGTGTTGAAAGCAGAGCTGAAATCCACAAACAGGATCCTGGTGTAGGTTCCTGGGGAGTCCAGGTGCTGGAGGATGAAGTGAAGGGCCACGTTTACTGCATCATCTACAGACCTGTTGGCTCTGTAGGCGAACTGCAGGGGGTCCAGGAGTGGGTCTGTGATGGATTTAAGGTAGGACAACACAAGGCGCTCAAAAGACTTCAAGACCACAGAGGTCAGGGCAATGGGTCTGTAGTCGTTTAGTCCTGTGGTCCTTGGTTTCTTGGGGACAGGGATGATGGTGGAGGCTTTGAAGCAGGGTAGCACATGGCATGTCTCCAGTGAGATGTTAGGTTTCAAGATGTTTAGGTAGACAAGAAGTGTTGCTTTGGAACAGACAGTCTTTATCGTCATCTACAGGCAGAGAAAGAGCCCACTTACAGCCCTGTAGGATGTTATGTTCTCAAGTTGTGGGCCTGTAAAGCATGGGAGTGCTTTTGGTCATAGGAAGGTTGATGAATATTCACTGTTTTTATCAATGTTTTGGAAGCTTTATGTTATTTGGAACGTGGTTGTATGCGCAGAAATAGAGTTTTGAAGAAAACTCCTAATAAAAGTGAACATGTAAACAGTAAATATGGCCAAGACATGGACATTTGCCTGGTATATTTTTGAAAAATATATATGTAATATGTAGTTTCTTTCATCAAATTTACAGTTACAGTTGTGTTTCAGGTGTATTAGAAGATATTTAGTTGCATTATAATTTACAGGATGATGTTTTGATGGTGATATTGCTGTATTATGTATATACAGTGAGGAAAGTATTTGAACACCCTGCTATTTTGCAAGTTCTCCCACTTAGAAATCATGGAGGGGTCTGAAATTGTCATCGTAGGTGCATGTCCACTGTGAGAGACATAATCTAAAAAAAAAATCCAGAAATCACAATGTATGATTTTTTAACTATTTATTTGTATGATACAGCTGCAAATAAGTATTTGAACACCTGTCTATCAGCTAGAATTCTGACTCTCAAAGACCTGTTAGTCTGCCTTCAAAATGTCCACCTCCACTCCATTTATTATCCTAAATTAGATGCACCTGTTTGAGGTCGTTAGCTGCAGAAAGACACCTGTCCACCCCATACAATCAGTAAGAATCCAACTACTAACATGGCCAAGACCAAAGAGCTGTCCAAAGACACTAGAGACAAAATTGTACACCTCCACAAGGCTGGAAAGGGCTACGGGGAAATTGCCAAGCAGCTTGGTGAAAAAAGGTCCACTGTTGGAGCAATCATTAGAAAATGGAAGAAGCTAAACATGACTGTCAATCTCCCTTGGACTGGGGCTCCATGCAAGATCTCACCTTGTGGGGTCTCAATGATCCTAAGAAAGGTGAGAAATCAGCCCAGAACTACACGGGAGGAGCTGGTCAATGACCTGAAAAGAGCTGGGACCACCGTTTCCAAGGTTACTGTTGGTAATACACTAAGATGTCATGGTTTGAAATCATGCATGGCACGGAAGGTTCCCGTCTTCAGTTTGCCAATGACCATTTGGATGATCCAGAGGAGTCATGGGAGAAAGTCATGTGGTCAGATGAGACCAAAATAGAACTTTTTGGTCGTAATTCCACTAACCGTGTTTGGAGGAAGAAGAATGATGAGTACCATCCCAAGAACACCATCCCTACTGTGAAGCATGGGGGTGGTAGCATCATGCTTTGGGGGTGTTTTTCTGCACATGGGACAGGGCGACTGCAC